ATTAAAATTGTTTATATTGTAAAAAATTTAAAAATGTATGGCTGAGTGGCCCTTTCATTTTTTGTTCCTTGCCAAGAGATTGAGTCTTCCATCTTTTCTTCTAGCAGAGCATTTTATTATCATATTGTTTTTAAAATGGTTTCTCTGGCGGGGTACAGTGGTGCACGTGTGTAATCCCAGTGGCTCTGGAGGCTGAGGCAGGAGAATCAAAGCCAGCCTCAGCAACAGTGAGGCATTAAGCAGCTCAGTGAGACCCTGTCTCTAAATAAAATACAAAATAGAGCTGGGAATGTGGCTGATAGTCCAGTGCCCCTGAGTTCAATGCCCAGTACTCCTGCGCCACAAGAAAATGATTTTTCTAGGTTCAAGATCACTGAAGTTTACTGGCAAAAGCAAAAACAATTTTTTTAAATCCTGGAAATAATTTAATAAATACAAGGATTCTGGGGAGGGAGAGAGTTAGTGACCTATTTTCCTCTTCTCCCAAAATAAAGAGAATGACTCTTTAAATGTATAGCCTCATTTTTATATGATTGCGACCCTAAACTAGTCTACTCAATGGTTGGTGTGGGACATTGGTGTTAGCTTTTCCCATTCATTTAGATGGGCTTTTGTTTTTATTGTTGGTCATTGTAAGAATTCCAAGGAATAGAAAGATCTCATGGGCAAATCAGTTTGCTTTGTCCTCTGTACATTTGTTAGTTTATAATAGTTTTTATATTCCTCTCAGTTTTAAAAGTTGAGATGCCTTTAATCACACTCTGAATGGTCCTTATTCTCAGAAGCTAGGAAAGAGGTTCCCTTCCTTCCCCCATAGCACCATAATTGGGAAATTTGGTTATTGTACTAAATTTTAAGTTTTGGCACTTATGTGGAGCAGCCATCCATCTGCTGGCGAGACACACTGCCTGGGGCTTTTCAAGAAATCCCTTAATAGGCCTGAACACTAATAATATTTATATACATTGAGATGAGGCAAAATTTATAGTATGCTTCTGGAGCTGGCTCCAGTACTCTCTAATCCCAGACTTCCTCGTGTTCTCCTGCCTGCCTCCTGGAATCCTCTTGGAGTGTGCTTCAGAGAGAGGAACACCGGCTTCCTGCCTGAAGCCACTACTTATTTATGGAGTTTGTCACCTTTCCTTCTTATAGTCTCCTCTTCTCCTCATCACACCTCATATCCATTTCCCTGCAAAGAATAGATGTGTATTTATACACAGTTTGCACCAGTTAATATAAAGGAACCCATTGATTTGGGATTCTTTGAAGAGGAATTATTCTTTAAAAAAAAAAAAATGAAAAAAAAAGATCTTAACTAGTTATACTTTTCTGAAATTTATTTGGAAGTAGCTCCTGTCACTTGGAACCAACCTGACTTCTCCAGCTTATGTGTTGTTTGTGGCACTCAGTTCCCTTTAATTTATCCCTTTGGGGGATTTCAGTGGACCCCTGCTCAGACATGCTATTTCCTGTGGAAGGGATAAGGGTGTTGGAAATGCAAAATATATCTAACAGGTACTTTGTCAGCTATTTGTTTGTTTTTCTTTCTCATCCTGGGAAAGCCCAATATTTACATTTGTTATGACTGATTGCAAGTGAGTTCAGGGGGACATTTTTCTATTCTTTTAAATGCTCTTGAGATTTTACTACTATGTGAATAGCTATTTGAACTTAATGTCTGTTACTCATCATTTTTATGGCATTTTCTTTGCATTGTAAGTGAATAAAAAGGAGTTCTGCAAGTTAATATTGGTCCCAGTTAGTCTCTGATGGTGATTGTAAGATTCATAATTAATTTTCCCTTCCTCCAACAAAAAAGGATAGTGGGTAGATGGCTGAAGAGCAGCTCTAAATGAAGTATGTGCCTACAACTGCTGGTATACCTGGAAAGCCAGACTGTGAGCATCATTTTCTGCAGCCAGTTTTATTGATCCTTGTGGATCCATTATATTGCATGAGCTTTGTAGGGTCAACATAATAGGCGGCAAGTCTGTCTGCTTGCCTGATCATTTTTTTGGTTCTGCGTTCCCTGAGCAACCATACCCACTGTGCTTCTGACAGATGACTTTTTCTAATATAAAACTCTGACCTTTGCCTGAAACTTTCAGGAATTGTCCATTGTCCACCAATGGAAAGGCCTTCAGTGCCTCCCTGACATGTCCCCCTCTTCCTCTTGGCAACATGTGACGGGTCCCCATCCCTCTTTGCCATGAGTACCTACTTCTACCACCATAGCAATTCCATGGTTTTATAAACATTTACATGTGGTGCTCTCTGTGGTATTCTTTATTGCTATCCTCTTCATCTTTCAGCTCCTCTTCATCTTTCAGCTCCAGCCTCATCACCTCTGCAAATCTTCCTGGCATCCAGGGTTCCCAGAAACATAGTACACATTCACTCATTCCTACTTATCTGGTATGCTATGCCTTCCCTGAAGACTGATCCATACACACATCTGTCTGGAACACAGGTGTAGCATATGCTCAATGAGTAGTTGCTAAGTAGATAAATAAAGGATAGATGGATCGATTTAAAAATCTGAAGTCAGCATATGCAATATCAATGTTTCTTTAGATCTTGAGCCTCGAGGTGCCCTCCATAATGGATATATTTGAAATTAAATAGTCATTTAATCTGTTTTATTTTTCTATGTTTTTGAGTGAAAGGTGAGGTGGTAGAGAGTATGTATTTGTGTTTGCTGTAAATATACTAGGCTTTAAATTAAATTCATGTTATACTCTTCAAAATAATCATCATGGTTGACAGTATATGTATATCAATATTTTAGGAGCTCCTGCAACATATTTTTTATGTAATCATAAATAGTTAACTCCTTGTTGTTTGTTGGATAGGTGAGTTTTTTTTTAAATAGCCAGAAGTCATGAACAAAATGACACACATAATTACAAAATGACATGCATAAACCAACAAGAATGGTTTTCTTCTTCCCCTCTACATAGTTTGAAAGGGGTGTCTTGGTTGGGTTAGTTTAGTTGCATATAATAGCAGTCACTTAAACAAAATGAAAGTTTGTTTCCCTTTCACCTAAAGAAGTCCAGAAATAAGCAGTTCAGTGTTAGAGACCAAGTTTCTTTTATATCACTCCACCCTTCTGAAAGTGCTACCTCATAATTCAAGATAGCTGCATAAGCTCCTTGCATTATTTTTGCATTTCAACCAGTGAGGAGGAAGATTGGGCATGCCCTCTGTTTAAGAAGTCCTCCAGGAAGTTTCAGTCAGAATATTTGTTTATATCTCACTGGACAGAACTTAGGACACATAGCCACTTCTAACTGTAATGAAGGCTAGAGATGTAAGATCTATGGACATGGCAATATGCCTAACTAAAAACTGCCAAAAAGCATAAGCATAAGAAAAAAACAATGGAAAGTAACCTGATGTTCCTGCTACAAGATGATCTCAAAGGAGAAAATTGCAAGATTATTTTAAACTTGACAGTATCATGAGAATTCATCAGTTTTCTTCAGAGGTGACATTTGTTTGAATGTCCCAAGTTCTGATATTGGTTTTTGAATCCATGTTTGCATTGAAACAGAAATTTTTAAATGGAACTAGTAGGTTTGTAGGTTAGTATAAACTTTCCAGAGGAAAGTTTGACTTAGCAAGATTCATCCTGGAAAGTGAGCCTAATGAAATGTTGAGGATGTTCATAATGGTAATAGAAGATAATAGGAGACTCCACAATGGGATATAACGTTACCATTAAACAATCATGAAATTCACTTTCTATAATGGCCAAAACATTCTTTCTGAATGGCTTAATCCTTGTATTTGTCTTTATTTGTCCATGAACATATAAAGGATCCATTGGAGGTGATGATAAAGGGGCCATTTGTGGGCAGATAGATTTGTGCTTTCTTTATACTCCTTCATCTATGCTCTCTGATATTTTTTTAAGCATGTGTTTTTATAAGAAAAAAAATATTTAGAACCTTCACTCAATGTTGCACATCAGAGTCAAAAATATACATATTTAAGTAATTTTGTATTGTTTTCCCACTCAAGGAAAAAGTAGGTCACACATAATACAAACCAGATTTCATATTTTGTTGATTTATACGTTATTTAGGAGTAAGGCTAACAGCCCATAGAGTGTGATCATAGAGCATTGTTATGGAAATGAGTGCCAACTCATCTCCTTGAGATGTGAATTGTGGATCTGTGGTCATTAAGCACTGCTTTCCCTTGACTTGAGAGGATTGAGTAGGGGAAATGGACTCTAAATTCCTGTGGTCCCCTGGGCTCAGGGGCCTGACAGTGACCATGTGACAAAGTGACTTCAGTTACCTAATAGGTTGGGTTCTGAGTTAAAATCATCACTTATTCAGAGTAAACACTTTATGTGGTTTAAGCAAAAACAAACTTCTAAAGCTGCTTTGTAAACCCAAGTGGCACCATCTTTCCTATATTGTGGTTTAATTATTTTAAAAATAAGCATTTCTACACATGAAGGATTTTGAATTGTTTCCAGAGGGAACACACAGGAGGTGTACCCCCCACAATCTAATAAAAAAGAAAAAAAGAACTTATCCAGGGTTTCAGGAAACCACTGGGGATCTTGGAGTATCATAGTGCCTAAGGGGGTACTGCCATATTTGTTATAAGGAATTCTACTTATATTTGCCTTTTAAAGTTCTGATAAACCCTGTGGTTCCTAGAGGGCTTCCCCATGTTCACCTAGGCCTCAGGCACCTTCTCACCCCCATTTTACAGATGAGAAAAGAGGGGGATCATGGTCATTAGAAGCCAGTGGCTCCAAACAAGGAGTACATAAAAGAGACTGGACTTGAAACCTGCCAGTGCTGTCTGCTCTTCTAATACTGGATGAAAAGACAATGATTCTCTTTGTGGGGATGTCATGGAAGGTCGTGTGCTTGCCTCTTCCACAGGCCATCTGGTGTGGGCTGTAGCAGCGGGTGATGCAGCAGGCTGTTACACGGGCCCTGCTGGGTCTCACCAATTCTCCTCTGTCCCCACAGTGTGCCCGAGCGTGTGCGGAAAGCGGGCGTGCACCGAGAACAATGAATGCTGCCACCAGGAATGCCTGGGCAGCTGCCACGCACCCGACAATGACACAGCCTGCGTGGCCTGCCGGCACTACTTCTATGAGGGCGTGTGTGTGCCTGCCTGCCCGCCTGACACCTACAGGTTCGAGGGATGGCGCTGCGTGAAGCGCGACTTCTGTGCCAACATCCTCAGCGCTGAGAGCAGTGACTCTGAGGGCTTCGTCATCCACGACGGCGAGTGCATGCAGGAGTGCCCCTCAGGCTTCATCCGCAACGGCACCCAGAGGTCAGTGTCCATTGCAAGTCCCAGGGGCTACCAAGGGTGCTCTCTGCCAATTGCCACATCTGGTCAGGACTTTCCAGACATTAACCCAACTGGATCCATTTGAGAGGGCTAGTATAACTTACATTTTTTATGAGAATCTGGTAGCAGTTAGCACGTTCTCACACCCACACATGTGTGTGTGTTTTGCTTTTTCAATTTATGTTTTGTTTTAAAAGTATACTTCCCAACCATTGAAATTAAGTACCTAGCTTCCTGGGTCTGATGCCTGGAATTTATTCACCTTTTCTTTGTACACTTGCCACACTGCTACCTGAGAGGCAGGGGCCTGTGGTTTTAGATTTTCATCCCCAGGTTGCTACTAACACTAGCTCAAGGAAAGCTTTGGGAGAGCAAGGGGAAAGAAACATCCCTACAGGATCCTCCAGGCCCATGAGCAGGCCTGGTACATCTTACCGCAGGCATAGGCTCTGTGCATGAACTAGCAGCTGCTGAGGATAAGCAGTAGTTTAAAGTAAACTGTGTCTCCCATTCCCTTCTCCTTTCTCTCACTCTCTCATCCTCTGACTCCCTCAGTAGTCTTTGTGGCCTTTAGTTTCTTTCCTAAACTTTGAAATTTCACTTAGGAAGTAGAATTCCTTATAACAAATGACATTTCTCCTATCTGTGGCCACTAGGCTTCTATAACTTGTCATTAGTTTATGTTTTTGAAAGTGAGAAATTAGATTTAGTTACAAAATATAGTGATAAAACTCTGGAAGCAAAAGAAGATAGAAGTTTGGGGTTACTATTTCCTCCCCTGCAGCAGAGTAAAGAACTTTTGGGAAAGTTCTGTACCAATGGGATTTATGATTCCTACACAATAAACACCTGAGGACCCTTGTGTATCTGGATTCTTCAGAATAAAACTAGGGAATTATTGATGTAGGTCAATAATAGAGTGCATGGTTGGCATGTGTGAGGCCCTGAATTTGATTCTCTGAACTGCAGTCAATCAATCAATCATATTCTACAAATACAAATACCATTAGAAATTAGTTTTAAAATTAATAAAATTAGTTTTAAGTATAATATTTGCTGCAGTCTGCATCTGTAAACTACAGCAAATAGGTCTTCTTTTATTTTTTTCTCTTAAAGAAGGTTCTGTTTCTAGTGCAATATTTAGTGATGCTGTTTCTACTGCAGGCTGCCATTCAAACCAATGATAAAACTCATATCCTTTCATAATACTAGGTGTAACACAACTTTTGGCCTGTTATAATTTCTGTGAACATTGTAATATAAAAAATTAACTACTTCAAAATGATAAGTGAGCCAGGAACTCCAATAAGCCAAAAATATATGTATATTTATTATATCAAAAATAAGGGGCTGGGATTGTGGCTGAATCCATGTGTTAGGTAGAGCACTTGCCTGGTATGTGTGAGGCACTGGGTTCAATCCTCAGCACCACGTCAAAATAAATTAAAAATGAACGTATTGTGTACACCTATAACTAAAAGTCTACTGCATTTTACATTTTACTGGCAGCCAGTGTTAGCCAGCTTTCTATTGCTATAACAAAATGTTATATGCTATAACAAAATGATAGTCAACTTATAAGAGACAATTTACTTTGGCTAACAGTTTTAGAGGTTTCAATCCATGGTTGGTTGGCCAGGTAGCCTTTGGACCTATGGCAAGGCAGCACATCATGGCAAGGAGTGTGTAGTGCAGCAAAGCCATTGACCTTGTGGTCAGGAATAAATGAGCCCGGAGCGGGTTTGGGGCCCAATCTCCTCTTCAAATGCATATCCTCAGTGATTAGAAGACCTTCCAATAGGCCTCACATCTTCAAGTTTTTCCCAGTGGCCTCAAAACTAATCCTTCAACAGGGTAGACCTTTGCAGGAGGTTCTGGTCCAAGCTATAGCACAGCTTTAGGATACAAAGGGACTTTATTGTTGTGTATCTGGAGTCCTGGAGAAGTGCCTGGTGCCCAGTAAAGGCTCAGCTATAATTCAGACACCACCTCCTTCCTGGGGTGGGGTCAGGAAAGGGATAGCTGGTCCATGAACTTAATACAGTGTCACCTTTGATCTGCACATGTAATTTCTTATGCTACCTGGATGCATTCAGTCATTCTGCAACCACCAGTGCAACAGTCAGAGTGAGAACACTCTATGTTTGCAGTGTTGTTTTTTTCTTTCTCTGCAGGGTATTCTTAAAAAGATGAGCAATTATTTTCCTACCCATTCTTATAGTCTATTCAAAACTACAGACCTGCCTTTTCTGTTTTAACATAAAACATCATTAAGAAATAATAAATGGGGGCTGGGGATGTGGCTCAAGCGGTAGCGCGCTCGCCTGGCATGCGTGCGGCCCAGGTTCGATCCTCAGCACCACATACAAACAAAGATGATGTGTCCGCCGAGAACTTAAATAAATAAATATTTAAAAAAAAAAAATAAAGGAGACTGCTATCAGGTTCTGTTTTAAAAAAAAAAAAATGTTGTGTCTGCCGAAAACTAAAAAATAAAAAAATATTAAAAAGAAATAATAAATGCTCCTTTTCAGTCTTTGAGACCTGTTTAACCCTTACCTTAAAATATTTTTCAAATACTGTTTATACTCTCTGTACCAAAATGAATTTGAAGAAGCTCAATCTATAAGTACATTATCAAAACACTTTCTTACAAAACAATTTTTAAGTGCTAGATGATTTTTAGACATTTGAACAAAGAAATATGTTCTATTTGAATAAAAGATGGAGAGAAACCAAATATACACTTACTTTAAAATCCAGCAATGGCAACACTGGACATTTAACCCAGAAAAATGATATCTAAACAAAACCATGCACACAGTTGTTCACATCACCATTTTCTGTAATAGCCAGAAACTGGAAACAACTCAGCAGTCCTAAGATAGGTAAATGGTGAAGCAGACTGTGGTATGTCCACACTGTGGAATATTACTCAGCAATAAAAAGGAGAAACCCACTGAAATTCCTAGCAGTTTGGATGAATCTCAAAGACATTGTGCTATGTAAAGAAAGACAATCTCAAATGGTAACATACTACATGATTCCAAACATTCGTAGAATGATAAAATTTAAAAAGAGGTGGAGAACAAATTAGTGGTTGCTCGGAGTTAGGGATATTAGAAACTGGGGTGGGGAAAATGAATTGGTGGCACAGGGGATATCCATGTGGTGCTGGAATAGTTCTGTTTCTTGTTTCCAGTGGGGATTACACAAGTCTCCACAGTGGTAAGACAACACAGGACTCTATACACATATTGTGCCAGTGTTAATTTCCTCGTCTTGATATTTCATTATCATTATGTAAGATGTTGTAACCATTAGAGGAAATTGGGTGAAGGATACATGGGTCCTGTCTATATTATCCTAGTAACTTCCTGTGCATCTATAACTATTTTTAAATAAGTTTTTTAAAGAGATAGTTGGGGGCCTTATGTGCTATGTAGGTAAATTAGAAACAACAGAAGACCACAAAACAAACAAACAAAAAAAAAAGCTGAAAGGAAGCTAGTCCCTAAGCTGGAAATGAGAATGCTTAAGTGTAAATTTAGAGGAAGGAGGACTATTCCCCCTTTGAGTGGGTCTACTTCCTACAGGATACTTTGGAGACCCTGACCTCATTTCCCAACATGAAATAGGAGGATGATAGAGAAATTTTGTTTACCTGCAAGCTTTTAAACAAAACAAAGCAAAACCCTGCATCTTTGCTTTAGATATAAAATATTCTGGGGAGGGAGAAGGAATTTAATAAAAATAGCTATGATTTAATGCCACTTTTCTTGAATATTTTGACTTATCTTCATATAGTTTAAAAAGATCTTTTAAGAACAATAGTGTAAATAGAGTGACTCTCCAACTTACCATCCTGTTACACAAATGTCCCATAAGGTTGTATCATTTATCTTGTTTGGAAATTGACCCAACTTTCTGACCCTGGTTCTATATATAGCTATAGATCCCAAAGGTTCTTAAGCTGCTGGGTTAGCATTTTGTCTGTTATTTCCCAAATAATGGTCAATAAACAGGAAAAATGCCAGTCTTGCTTGTCTCTGATTCTTGGTGGTTTATGACATGTTCAGGATAGTATTTGAAATGGGAGCTCATTACAATGTAATGGAATTTCCCTGCTTTTATTGTGTGTATAGCAAAAACAACATTTGGATCAATTTACAAGTTTCTGCAAAACACTGTCAAGAAATAATTTCAGTTGTGCTTTAACAAGAAAATAATGGATCTGTGCTTTTTTGAATCCATCACTGAGCTTTGCTGGACACTTGACTTCAGGAGTAAGACTCCTGTTTGTAGCAAAGGCACTGCAGTGCTTTTGTTGTTCCTGCTGACTCTCCCTGCTACTACTCCAGGTGTGCAAGTGAGGACCATAACATCAGAGAGTAGCTCCATTTTCCAGAGCCCCCAGAGCTTCCTTTCTAAAAGTCTGTGTCTCCCACATGGAACCAGCTGGCATACCAGTTAACAGCCTATGATACACACATGCTTCCAGGATGGATCACGCATTTTGTCTGGAAACAAGCAACATGCTTTTCCTTTGCAGGCACTTTCCCCTTTTGGTTGCAATTTGAGTGGCTTATTGTGGGTGGGCTTGAGAGTGTGATGCCATGTAACCACTTGCACACTTCAAAACAATTGCTTTTTGTAATGCATGCTGTAATAACTAAAAGCCTATACTTAAAAAATTTTAATGCAAAGAGGCAGACTTAAGTTTTCTATGTTTTTGAACCTTCAACAGCATGTACTGCATCCCTTGCGAAGGTCCTTGCCCCAAAGTCTGTGAAGAAGAGAAGAAAACAAAGACTATTGATTCTGTTACTTCTGCTCAGATGCTCCAAGGATGTACCATCTTCAAGGGCAATTTGCTCATTAATATCCGACGAGGCAGTAAGTATCCCACCTCACTGGATAGATGAATGGATGTCTTGGTTTTCTTTTGCTGATGTTTTTCCTGAACCTGTCTCTGAGTTACAACTAAAATAATGGGCTTAAGAAAAACAGCATGGTGCATAAACCTCCCACATGACCTCTTTCCTTTGAGTTTCCTTCAAAGACTTAAAAAAAAAAAAGATTGAAAGGCAGTCTGTTTTTCCCATTGGCACAGTTTGTTCCTATAAAAGGGGTCATCCCTCATCTCGCTGTTAGTCATATCTTACGCAGGAGAAACACGTACCAGCACACACAAACCCCAGAAGAGACTGAGGGATCAGAGAGGCATGACTCAGCTAGCCCAGCTGTAGCCAGATCCATATATTTTTAAGTCCAAAGAGTTTTGGTTACTTAAATATATTGAGACTGAGCAAAAGGAAGAGTTTAATATTATATTAAATTTTATTAAGTACAAAACAATGATAGATCTTCCAGTTTATTTCTAAGAGCCAAAACAATACAAATTGATTCTGAGTCATATGTGTAAAGCTTTGGTCTCACTCCTGTAGAACCATCTTTATTTTTTAGTAAATGGCATTCCTGGTAAGACATTTCTAAATTTCAGTTGGGCAAAGCATTTCCCAGTGATTTATCTTGCAATATTTTCCCTTCTGATGTTTGATTTTCAAGGGCTTCTATCAATGGTACCTTTAATTCTCTACCATTGGGACCACTTGGTCAAGGTACTGATAGTTTTATAAGCCAGAATAAATACAAGAAGAAGACTTCACAGTTGAAAGAAATATATTTATAAGTTCTTTGGTAAAAAAAAAAAAAATTCTGAGGGTTGGGGTTATGGCTCAGTGGTAGAGCACTTGCCTAGCATGCATGAGGCCCTGAGTTCAATTCTCAGCACCACATATAAATAAATAAAATAATGGTCCATTGACAACCAAAACAATATTAAAAGAAAAAAGATTTTTTTTTAATTTTCTAAAAGTCTAAAGAGAGAAATGACTAATAATTTATTCTGCAGATTTACTTTTCCATCATATTTGTTTTCTTTTTTTTAAGTTTCATGTAATATTGTTTTTTTAGAATATTTTTTATTAGTTGTTTAAAATATTACAAAGCTCTTGACATATCATATTTCATACATTTGATTCAAGTGGATTATGAACTCCCATTTTTACCCCGTATACAGATTGCAGAATCACATGGGTTACACATCCACGTTTTTACATACTGTCATACTAGTGTCTGTTGTATTCTGCTGCCCTTCCTATTCATATTTAGAGATAGAGAAATTTAGAGATAGCAGAAATCAGTTTTTGTTTGGTTCTTTGGGATTTTTTGATATCCCTTATTTACACCACTCACCCACTGCCCCACCATGGAGATAATCCTGTTCTGCGCAACTAGAACTCTTCGTGGTTCTTCTACAGTTGTGTTCTTTTTGCTCTTGGAACATTTCTTAGTTTACTTTCAATCTATTCATCCCTAGAACATGCCTTTTAAGTACCTAATTTTTTTGTTTTTTTGTTTAAACTTCCTTTCCTGGAGATAAAAATTGCATCTATGAATTAAATTCATGGAAAAGTACTTTGAAAATAAATTGGTACAGGATCATGCAGAATGAAGAAGTATGTCCAACACAGACAATCATTTGGATTTAGGATAATGGGACATTTTTGTCAGAAGGGAGTTCCCAAGCCTTAACTGAGAGATGTAGGGCAGGAAGCCCCACATCTAAAAATTCAAAAGCTATCCTTAAAACATCAATTACAAACAACCTCTTATCTTTCCAATTTAAATTTTCCTTTAATTTCTCTTGGAAAGCCATTAAACATGAGGCCTTATCCTCCAAGAAAGTATGCTTATTCTTGTATTTTTTTAATCAAATCAAAGCAAAAAACAACCTTTTATTAAGCAAACCTTCATAAATCATAGTAAAGTTCTATAAAATCCTATTCGTTGAACCACATCTAATTCACTATAGTCATCATCATAATTTTGACATAGGCTGAACAAGTTTGTTTTCTTTTTGCTATGAGAAAAGGTAGGCTAATCAAGATTAAAGAAAATCTACCATTTCTATTATATTATTTCTACATCTGTATTGACAACTATTTTTCTAACTATTTTCTAGTTATAAAAGTAAGACATGAGCATTATAAGAAACTTAGAGCTGCAGAAGTGAGCCTTTAAAAATCACCTGCAGATAGCTGTTGTTAACATTCTGATGTATTTTCCTTCAGTCTTAGTAAGATAGAACCTTAAATGTAGATCCCTGTATCTTAGGAACTAGAAATACAGCAAAGGCAGTTACTAATGAGGCTGAGAAAATGTTGTTTATTTAGTCATGCCCTTGCACTGTGGAGGCAGTACTATCTGTTGACAGAGCATATTTAAAAGACGTTCCCTAGATTTGTCAGCCTTAGCTAATTGGCAGTCTGGTATTTATGATTTTGCATTTTGTTAATCAGCCTGGGAACTGTAGAACCCAGCCTCCTAAGATTTGCTTTCCTCTGCTTCAAAGGCCTGTCCCAGAAGTGGCTGTTGAAAGTTAAAGCTAGGAGAGTACATTCTTGACAGGGGATGGCAGTTTTTTTTTGATTTTTGTTTTTTGGGGTTTTTGTTGTTGTTGTTTGTTTTGGGGGGTTTTTTTGGTATCAACTGAACTGAACCCAAGGTGCTCAACCACTGAGCCACATCCCCAGCGCTTTTTGTATTTTATTTAGAGACAGGGTCTCACTGAGTTCCTTAAAGTCTCACTAAATTGCTGAGAATGGCTTTGAACTCTCTATCCTCCTGCCTCAGCCTCCAGAGCCACTGGGATTACAGACATGTATCTCTGCGCCCAGCTACAGGGGATGGCAGTTCTAATTCTTGGCTCCTGAACATCTCAGTAGGCTCCCACAAAACAAGTCCTGCCACCAAATTGCTCTCCACACTGTGTGTGTACATCACTCTGACACCAAGTAACACCATCCGTTTCTCATGTAGATAACATTGCCTCAGAACTGGAGAACTTCATGGGGCTCATCGAGGTGGTGACCGGCTATGTGAAGATCCGCCATTCCCATGCCTTGGTCTCCTTGTCCTTCCTTAAGAACCTTCGCCAGATCTTAGGGGAGGAACAACTGGAAGGGTGAGTGCTCCAGGTTTCATTCCCTAATCTTCTATTCCTTAACCTTCTCCTATTACAAAGTAAGTAATTGTTCATACAACCATGTAACTAAAGTCAGAGACATTCCTTGTTAAATAGAAGAAAGAGAAAGCCACAGGATTGTCCCAGCTGCCTGGGTGATGGTCTACATCCCTGCTCAAGGTCTTGCATAGAGTCATGATTCTCCATTCTGGGATATTGCTGTTTTGGAAAATAGATATTTTCATGCTTACTGGGTTGGAACCCATCCATCAGGAGTTGCAAGGCTAACTGTAGCCAGGGAGACAGCAACCAGGGATTCTCTTGGAGCCTCTTCTTGCCAAGAATGATAGCAGTCAGTCTAAAGTGTTTAACTCCCAGTGAAATCATTATTTACATGACCCTTATATGCTTCAGGATGCTGTGCTCTACTATGTAAAAATCATTCTATCTTGTAAAATATTGGGACATAAGAGACTTGGAAAAGTGTAGAAAATTCATTTTGTTATAAAGAAATTATTTTTTTAATTTTTTGGTTTTATTTTTTAGTTGTTGATAGACCTTTATTTATATATGGTGCTGAGAATCGAACCCAGTGCCCCACACATGCCCAGCAAGTGCACTACCAATGAGCCACAGCCCCAGCCCCTATAAAGAAATTTTGATGCACAAAATTTTTTTAATTGTTTAGCTTATAGGATTTGCACTATTGATAGGATTTTTGCCTTCTGCAGAGATACACTTTGTGATGAGATTTTAGAATAATCATGAACTAGGCTGGGGTTGTGGCTCACAAGTAGAGTGCTCACCTAGCACATGCAAGGCCCTGGGTTCAATCCTCAGTACCACATAAAAATAAATAAATAAAATGAAGGTATTGGGTTGGGGATGTGGCTCAAGCGGTAGCGCGCTCGCCTGGCATGCGTGTGGCCCGGGTTCAGTCCTCAGCACCACATACAAACTAAAATGTTATGTCTGCCGAAAGCTAAAAAATAAATATTAAAAAATTCTCTCTCTCTCTCTCTCTCTCTCTCTCTCTCTCTCTCTCTCTTTAAAAAAAAGTAAGAATAAACATGGGCTTTTAATCGGAGGATAAAAGCTGGTGCTCACTGTATACACAGTTTCTTGTATCTCTCTGGTCATTAACCTGTGTATACCTTTGCATATGTCATTTTCTTGTCCAGGCTCTTGCCTTTCCTTAAGCTGATGCTTGGGAATAAAAAGGATCCCTCAATTAAGGAGTGAATTCCTTCTATAGAGAATTTGGGGAAATCATTTAGGAAACAAAAAGAGGTGGGAAGGTCATGGGAAAGGTTGTCCTAGCTGATTTATCTGCCCCAACTGGATAAAGTTACTGCATAAGGGTTTCTTTACAGCTTCCCAGTTTTTTTCAGCCTAACTCTTGGTGAGTCTTAAATTCTTCAAATTCCGTCATCTGATACTGCTAAAGAGAAGACAGCTTTTCATTCCATCCTTGAAAATCACACTGTCCTCCCCACTGGGAACACTGATTCTTGAGAAGAACTTCTTTCTCCTTGCAGATCCATGGAGGCTGTCACTGTGCCCATCAGTGTGGTAGTCATTTCTGTGGTAAACTGGTGGGGGGCTCTGCCCATGTGAGGTGATAGCCTTTGTTCATTATGTTGATTTTAAAAAAATTTTTTTTAGTTGTAGATGAATACAATAATTTTGTTTATTTATTTATTTATTTATTTTTAATGTGGTGCTGAGGTTTGATCCCTCACAGATGCTAGGCAAGCGCTCTACCACTGAGCTACAACCTCAGCTCCATTATATTAAATTGTAATACGAAGTTTGCCTACTTTTCCCCCCCCCTTCAAGTAGATTTGTTTCTGGAATTCCTGGTACCAGTAAAGACTTTTTCCTTGGCAGACTGATATTTGTCAAATTTTCTGAGCAAGTAATAGCATAGAGGAGAAAACTGAAAAGAAACTTTAATTTTATTAGGAATTATTACATGGTTTTATTACCTCTTTGCTGTGCATTAACTAAAATTATTATGCTGAAATTGAAACTGATTTTTATTTGCAAGGATATTTATAATGCATTTCTTATTATTGAAACTTGCATAAAGCAAAGTATCAGTGGGTTCTCTTTAAGGATGCATGTATTAGGGAGGTTTCCCAGGTAAATGTCAGCCCCTGGTCTGCAGTTAGCATTTTAGACAATAAGGGAGGACAGATGGGCCTCAGCTTTTCTCAACTTTAGGCTACTTTCTTAGAGTCTGTCTCTTTAGCTCTTATGATTCTTATCTCTCTTTGATGTGTATTATATTCTCTCACCTGCCTTCCTTACTCTGAAAGGCGTAGCTCATTTTCATTATAATAAGATGAACCCCCCAAGAGTTCTGTTTGTTTCAGGAGTGACCAGTGGCAACAATTCACCTCTTTGTTTCTCCTTCTTAGACTTAGGGATGGGTTAGGCTCTGCCCCTTCCCCTCTTCCCTGTTTCTTCTATAAGAAGGAAAAAGTCTGGAAAAGAAGAAAGGGGCATAGCAGACAGATGAATTTCAACAGTGCAAAGCACACCTTGTAGGGTGCTCCAGGGGAAAGAAAGGAATGTGCCCTGGGCACAGAAAAGAGCTAATCTGATGGAGAAGATCAGACAGGCTTTTCCAAAAGAGGTGGCATTTGAGATGGGTCTTGAAGACTTTCAGGAAACACAGGCCATTCAGGGAAAGGGAGCAGGAGCAAAGGCAATGAGTCAGGGCATCCTGGTACCTGATTGGCAAATAACACTGGGAGATAGTTGGTACTAAAATTATGTAAGATGTTGTTGAACCCAGGTGTGGAGGTTATAATTTAGGTAGACTGTGGAACAAATGCAAGGCTTTATAGTACAGGAGTCTTAACAGTGCTGTCTGGATTTTAATTTCAGTGTATTTTGGGTATAAAGCAGGATACTTTTTATCCCAGTTTTTCCCAAATTTTGTTGCTCATTAGACTCATGGGAGCCAGAGGGTGGACTTTCAAGAAATCCTGATGCCCAATTGCATCCCAAGCCATTTTAATCAGAATGTTAAGGAGGTGGGTAATTCGACCATCAGTTCTTTTTAAAAGATTTCTAGGTATTTTTTGCATGCAGGAAAGATTGGAAACCACCATTTTATTTCTTTAAATCTTCTCATGTATCTCCAGAGCACTTGGACTTTAAAACATGTATTAATGTGGACTTTTTGGTTTTGTTTTGGGTTTTGTTGTTGTTATTGTTATTGTTTTTTGTTTGTTTGTTTTTGGTTTTTTTGCAGTTTGTAATCCAAAAAGGAAATTTGTTTGTAATCCACATATTCACAATTTCTGTAATTTTTAAACCCTTGAATAACTATTATCTGGAAAATTCCCTTATTGGAATAACCTTATATTCTGATGCTGTCAGATCAATAAGGAGTTAAAATTTCCAATTCATTGATGCTACTAAGGACTGTTATCTTGAAAAGAATAAAAGTACATGAAGGTGGTAGAATATAAAAATTAAAACTTCTAGGGGCTGGGGTTGTGGCTCAGTGGTAGAGTGTTCACCTAGTTCGATCCTCAGCACCACATAAATATAAAATAAAGATATTGTGTCAACCTAAAAAATAAGTATTTAAAAAAAATCAAAACTTCTAGATGCATTTAGGCATCTCTATGCCTGTATCCCTGCCTCTTGACTTTGTTATATTGCTTCATACTACCTTCTTGGAGCTCTGAGTTTAGGCTAAACATGGCTATACTTTAGCACTTCCCTGGAACTTTTAAAAATATGTATATAAACCATGTGTCCCAGAAATTCCAGGATTTACCCAGCATCTACCCAAAAGAAATTAAAACATGCCTATGCAAGATTTATACATAAATATTCATGGGACTATTATTCATAATAGGCCCCCTTCCAAAAAAAAAAAAGCAGCCCATTGGAAAAAGTCCAGATGTTCATCAACAGATGAATGGATAAACAAAATGTGACACATGGGACAGTATTCAACAACAAAAAGGAATGCAGTGTGATACATGTAACAACAGGAGTGAACTTCAGAAACATTAGGCTAAGTGGAAAAAAAAAAAAAAAGACAAAAGGCTACATGTCATTTGGTTCCTTGCTATATACTTTCTAGAAAGAAAACAGACCGCAGATAGTGGAGACATCAGATAATGGTGGGCTGGGGATAGGAGTGGAGATTAACCACCAGTTGGAACCAAAGAGTTTTGTGGGGTTTTTTTATTTTTTTCCTTAGTTGTAATTGGACACAATACCTTTATTTTATTTATTTATTTTTATATGATGCTGAGGATCAAACCCAGTGCCTCGCATAGGCTAGGTGAGCGCTCTACCTCTGAGCCACAACCCCAGCCCTCCCAGGGAGCTTTTTAGTGATGGAAATGTTCTGAAACTGGGCAGTGTTGAGGATTAGACCATAGCTCATGAAATCATACACTTATTATATTTAAGTGAAGCTGTATTTAAGAAAACACCTAACAAAGAAGAAATGTTTTCTAACTATCCATGTGATGTCTGGTTCTACCTGTAGGCACATTTCTACTCTTGCTGAGCCCCCATAAGTGGTGAAACACTGGATTTTGGTGAGAGTGGATGTGGTGTAAGCCAGCCATCTGCAGATAGGTTGGAGGGAGCATCTGTGAAAAGGCCAAGTCCTGTATCATTGCAGACTGCTTGGTGCTGTGATCGTTCCGTGCACTGGGTTCTGATGCCCTCTAGAGACAGCTATCAGGAGGCAGCAGTTTCTCCTCAGAGAAATGAACAGGAATTGTCAGATGTGTATTTGCAGATTTTCTTTCAATATGTCAGCAAGGGCTTAAAAGGGGTAATGTTCCTTCCTACCTCCAAAGGCTGCAGACCTCAGGCTCAGCCCTGAGTGTCAAGGCGCAAGACTTGCCTGTTCTTTATGACTTTGTTCTGAGGGACTTTGGCACTTCAGAGAGCAGAACAGGTCATCCCACACCTTTGTGAGGTGATTCAAAGCTCACAGTATCCTTTTATATTTAGCTCATCTGATTCTTCCGACTGGCCTCTGGGCCAGAAAAGAACAGGGAAGACACCTCCCATTTGCAGCTGAGAAACTCCAACCTGGGAGAAGCTGAATAAACTGCCCAGAGTTGTTACTTAGTAAGCAGTGGAGATGAGGCTCAGACCTGATCTTTATATTCCCATACTGAATGCTCTGAACCCTCTCCCTGGCGCTGTCTCCCAAGTACCACTCAGATCCCCAGCATTGGTGCTTTCTTTGCTCCCCACCTTTTCTGCAGTGTGTGTGGGGTGTGCTGACACTTGAGAAGGAGGACAACTCCAAGATGGTAGCCACAGATGACACAATCGAATGTGTACTATGTGCTGGGTAGACATTTAGAATATCCATACTGATGCCATAAAGATGCCCTCCAGGTGATAAGCAACCACTCCCAACCCACCTCACTTGGTCTACAATTGACTGACAGGACCCATCTGAGTAGAGAAACAAATTTTTTTTTTTTTTCAATATCAAGTAGTCTGAGAGCCAAGATACTAATAGCAGTAAAACCTTGGCATCACAGAGCCTGTGGGAATTAAATAAACAAATAACAAAACTTTTAAAAATATTCTATGAATGTAAAAGCAGTGAGCTTAGAAACAATTTTGAAATCACATTTACTGAGTAATTTCCTTTAAAATATTCATTTCCTTTAGGAAACAATGAAAGTCTCAGTGTTTTTATATGTTGAAGATGTACAGACAGGTCTCTGCCTTGTAGTGTCTCCTCATTTTCACCTAATTATGTTAGGAATTTGTGGGGAGCAGGGACCCAAGCTGGGAATGGAAAAACAAGAGCAGTATTGACAGGCAGCTCATGAATGGCTTGATTATTATTTTGATGAGGGTTTTATTTTCCTTTTTCTTTAGCTTCATAATGCCTGAGTTTTGTTGATATTGGTATCCTGGCTCCCAGCCTTCTCAACATTGTAAAAAAATGTTTGTGTTTACTGTAAAAAGATAATCTTGCTTTTCAAAGTGATTAATCAAATACATGGAATTTCAGTGTGCCTGCCATTCATATGTCAAATTCCTGGTTTATAATTCATGCTTCCTCCCATGGGGAGAAGAATGTTTTGTTCAGAAGGTATTTTCAGTGCAGTTCTATTTCTTGCTAGGAAAATTGGTTTACTGAAATAATCCTCATCCTGGATTGAGATGGAAGTTTGACCTGATTAATGGGTCCTTACACCTGGCCTGTAGGTTTCTTCAGAGCAATAAAGGGATTTTGTACCTGTGACTATCACGGGTACCTTGGAGCAGCCAGACCCATCAGGGTTAACAATGACCCTGCAGTCTCCTTTGGAGCTAGAAATATTCCTTGAGCAAGAATGGACTTATGATAGGACAAATCTATTTCCACCTCTGCACCCCTTCTTCAGTTGGATAATTGTACTGAATGCCCTAATCAGCCTTGAGATAGTGGATGTGGATGGGCTCTGCCCCCAAGGACAGCAGATCTGATCAGGCTGAGTCCCAGGACAGCCCCAGGATACATGATCTTATATTGCAGTCTAGATTTATTTGGACAATGTTCTTAGGTTCTTTTCCAGCACATAGATATGTGAAGGAAAGAACTCTTACTGAAAGGGAAGAAATGTTGACTTGCAGGAGTTTATCACTCATTTGGTGACCACTAATGTTCCCACAGGACTAAAGATGGGTCTGTGAGATGCCTGGCCTGGTTTCAGAGGTGCTGACTTTGGGCTTACTTGCTGGTTCACTGAGCCCTGCATGGCAGGGCCCTACACACACACACACACACATACACACACACACATACACCCTGTGTGCACAGAGGGCCCAGTGCTCAGAGAGGACTAGGACTTCAAGCTAGAGGGCCGGACCCTATCTCAGCTCTCTAATTCCTCTGGACATTAGGACTCTTAAAAGTCAACAAGGAGCTCAAATGTCACTTGTTCATGTCCCTTCCGTAAGTGAGAAAAAGGTGCTACAAATAGCACTAAAGGGCTTGCCTCAGGGTCCTTCAACTCATTAATGGCATTTCTGGTCCTTGGGTTTTGTCTCTGAACTTCCTTCTGGTATGAACTCCCTTGTGAATTCTTAAGGAAATTTCAAGACTGCTTGACAGCATTGTAATTATAATTCATGCTTTGCCCTAGATGAGACTCAGGCTGGGGATGGATCAGGATGAGCCAAGGTCCTGGTTTTGGTATAATACAGGATGATCCTAGTTTTGGTATAATACAGCCCCTCAGCAGGTGCAGAGGTAGGAGAGGACTTCAAGGTTCTCTTTTGTCCTGGTTATTCCTGGCTTTGGAGAGAGGGCCAAGGTTCTTTTCTCTGCATGTTTGTTATTGGTCTGTGAGTAGATCTCAGAAATAGCTCAAAGAACTGCCTAAGTCCTAAGCTCTGAGAGAACCTGAAGAAATCTGAGACTTGGACACCAGAGGAAGAGAGGAAGGATTCAAGGTCCTTAGGGAACTGACCCATCAACACAGAGGACTCAGACCGATAGCCATGGTGTTGCTTGCTAGTTACCTGAGGGGGAGATATTTTAGTCAGCTTTTTTTGCTGCTATGACTAAAGGATCTGATAAGAACAATTGGAGAGGAGGAAGAGGGCTCATGGTTTCAGAGATCTTAGACCATAGAAGGCTGGCTCCATTCCTCAGGGCTCAAAGTAAGACTAAACAACATGGCAGGAGAACTGGAGGAGAAAAGCAGCTCACATCATGGTGATCAAGAAGCAGAGAGTTCACTTTCCAGATACACATATATACACCAAAGCCACTCCCCAATTCTCCCCTTCTCCAGGCACACCATACCACTTCAGTTACCACTGTTAATCCCTATCAGGGATTAAATCACTGATTGGGTTAAGACTCTTACAACCCAATCATTTCTCTTCTGAACCTTCTTGCATTGTCTTACACATGAGCTTTTCGGGGACACCTCATATCCAAACCATAACAGGAGGGATGGGGTACAAAAGAGAAAGATCTATTAGAGGGATCTTTCTTCAGACCTTCAAGTTTTCACCTGTCCCCCCCCCCCCCACCACCCAGACATGGGTTTCTCCTGACACCAGGGTCCTGCTGGTTGTCCCCACATCTTCCCTTTGGTGGACAACTTGAGCATTGGGGGAGGAGCCATGTCCAGTCTGGTGGGCTCTGGGCCTCCAGCATCTTGCTGGAGTTCACCTGGCTCATGTTAGAGAGGCAATTCTCTACGTTAGATCTCTGCAGAGGGCCCTGCACTCTAAAAATAAACTTGGTTCACATCAAATTTGAAGAACCACTGTGTTGGACGCACAGTCCTGCTGCATCAATGAGAGGCCCAGGGTGGGGGACTGCCTATCAGAAACATTTCTCCACCCCCATACCTCCAGGCATTGAAGCTAGGGCTTCTCTGGGTAAAAAATAAAAGTAGAGGAGGAAGCAACCTAGTATTGGTCCTACCCCAGCCCCTGTCTCTCATCTCATCATGTGCTGCTTATTGGGCATGGGTAGGATTTACTCTCAGGGATAATGGGAGATTTTGCAGCAAATATGTAAGCTGTTCTGGTTGGGCAGTGAAGCATGTCTGTTCTCCCATGGACTGATTTCAAGTGCATTGTACACACCTGGCTCTGAGAAAAAATAACCAAAGACATTTTTAGGGAATGATCTGAGGAGCATTTTCCCATGTGAGAAGCTTTATATGTTGGTAATGGATGTCATCAAATTAATTAGTGTCCTATTGATTTCAATATGTTGTCCTTGACTCATGCTGTTGTCATTGTTATCAGCAGCTATCTGCTCTTACATGGCATCAATAAGTAAATCTCTTATTGGTAAAGGAAATGTGTTATGGCATGACACACATGGTAAAGAGGACCTGTGTTGGGTGGGGCCAGCATGCTGGAGGTGGAACATGGACATGAGCAGGTACAATAATGTCGATTTCTGTGCTTCCAGGAACTATTCCTTCTATGTCTTGGATAACCAGAACTTGCAGCAGCTGTGGGACTGGGACCACCGCAACCTGACCATCAAATCTGGGAAAATGTACTTTGCTTTCAATCCCAAACTGTGTGTTTCTGAAATTTACCGCATGGAGGAAGTAACAGGGACAAAAGGGCGCCAAAGCAAAGGAGACATAAACACCAGAAACAATGGAGAAAGAGCCTCCTGTGAGTGACAACATTCAAACCACAGTGGCTCTTTCAGCTCTGATAACCAATGACCCCTCTTCCAATAGGAATATGTGTTTCTGGGCAGCCACTCCCACCCATCTCTGATCCCCTGTTGCCTCTCATTTCTCTTGAGGTATGTCAGGCCACCTTAGCTAGCACCTTGCTGCCACAGTCAGTAGTGGGCAGATTGCTGATATATTCACGTTGATACATTTTCCTGAGCATCTGCATCAGTGCGTTCAACATTTATAAATAGGTTATTACTCAGATTCTGAAGGGGTAATCACTGAATACACAGTGAAATATCTTTCTCTGCACCAGGACAAAGATTTTTTTTTTTTTTTTTTTTTTGTCAAAGAAGAGCCAGCACACTTGAGCCTGGGGCAGGCCAGCTCTGCCCTTCTCCCAAGGATCAGGGCAGAGGCCTGGGGATAGAAGGAGCTCAACCGCAAGAAAACCACTGTGGGCCCTGGGCTGCTCGCTCTCACTCACCTCTGCCTCGTTTCCCCCACCAATACCAAAAAGGTGGAGTGAGCCTGCTTCTTTGAGTCCATACACTTTTAAAATTTTGAACAATATAATTTAACACTGTTCTGGTGATACAATTTTCACTTTATGCTCTCATAGATATGAAGCTCAGCTTCTGTTAAACCAGCTGTTCTTTAAGTGTGGTCCTAGGCCTGGGATGTCACAGAATGTTTCTCCTTTAACCCTGTATGAAAACTGCTTTAAAAGCATTGTGGCTCTTTTTGGATTGATAGGATTTTAAGAGCTAATTTTCTCACTGCCTTTAGCTTTAAAATGTTAGGAAATAAATAGTAATTTATATGTTAGGGAGTGATTTGCGTGCATGTACACACACAGAAAACTGAATCTATAAATTGTTTAGCATCTAGTCCTAGCTTATTTTGTAGGTGTTCGGATTTATCTGGTAGATACTCAGATAGCCAGAGTTTTAGAGGGAAGAGATGTGAGCTAGAGGTAGAGAGCATGTTTATAGCTAGCGCCTTCACCTCCCCTCCAACTCCCTGACTTGCTCCCTGTTTAGGCCATAGGCAAATGGATATATCAGAGCATTTTCAAAGCCAGGCAGCCTGACCTGTCAGCTCATGAATATGAAACCATTTATTTTCCTTCAAAAACACAATCGGGGTTTTCTCTCTAAATAACACTTCAACGGAATCTGCAACATTTCCCACATCCCAGTTGAGCACATTTTGCTCCAAGGACTATGTAGTGTCTTTTTGCCTTCCAACCCTGTGCTCCACCTCCGTGGTATGCAAAGTCAGGCAAACATAGGGCAAAGGACACCTGGTTGGAGATTTTCATGTTTCCTTCAGGGTAGTAGCTATTGGTCCTCTCTGGTTCTTTTTATAGTTGGAATCTGGTGTAAAGAACAAGAGAGGCTTGGGCCAGCTTTTTTGCTGCACCCTACCAGCCAAGGTGTACCTTCTCCAGAGCACAGAGAGTTCTGCCAGGGCAATAGTTCTTTTCAGTACTTAATCTAATGCAGGTTTCTAGCTGGCCTTCAAAGAGTTTCGTTGTTCTTTAAGGTTGACACCCAGTTTAGACTTAAGAAAATCTCCTTTCTGTGGCTCACCTGAGGTAGTGTACATGCCTTCGCTGATTGCACAGAAGCAAGCAGATACCAGCAGAACAAGTGCCATCCTCTCTAAAAAGACTTGCTCCAGCTTAAAGGTTTACTCTCACTTAACCAAATCCCCTTTGGCAGCCAGTGTGTAAAGGATAGGCCATCTTGTTCACTGAAGTGGCCCTTCTCTCAGGTTAAGAAACACAGGGTCACATAATTCCTGGGCATGTGGCCAGTGCAACTAACTAAACTAAAATGAAGTAATGGACCTTCATATGAGTTCTACATAGTGAAATACTAAATTCTCAGTGGAAAATAAGAAAGCCACCTACAAAGTCCAGAAAGAGAGTTAGTATGTACTACCAGGTTTAGGGAAAAGAATAGTGCCCAGACAAGTATCTTTTCAGAGATGCATGTATCTCTATCACTCATGAGATACCTCTGTGTCCAGGTGAAAGTGATGTCCTACATTTCACATCCACCACCACGTGGAAGAACCGCATTATCATAACCTGGCACCGGTACCGGCCCCCGGACTACAGGGATCTCATCAGCTTCACTGTTTACTACAAGGAGGCGTGAGTTTCTGCATTTCATGATGTCATTCTTTTGGCAGGGCTGGGAGTGGGCATGGTCAGTCCTTTGGTCATTGCATGCCTTGGCTGAACAGGAAGCCAATGGGTTCCCCATGCAGAACCAAGCCAAATATTCAATTTCATCCTCGTGTATCCTCCTTAGCTCTCAGGCAACATTGATTCTAGTTGGTGACAGCCATAAACAGGAAAGTATCAGCTTGAGCTTTTCATTGTTTATTGGTAATTAGAGATGTTTGAATAAGTTCAACCCAAAGGGGGAAAATCTTTGTGTTTCAGAGAATTGGGTCAGTCCAAACTGTCATAAACTGTGATGAGCACATGTGATGCCCATGAACACCTACTCTAGGAACAACCTGCAGGAGTATGACCCTAGACTGCTCCCTTGTCTTTTTCCAGGCATTATATCTATGGGCCTCTTCCAGTCTCTGCTCAAGGTCATGAGCCCTTCAAACAAGGGAATGAGAATGTAGAGAAACTGACCTTCATATGTTCAGCATTTTGTGACTTCTCCCTGAATGTGCTGGGGCTTTTTCTTGTGTACAGATGGCATTCACCTACTTGTTAAGCCATGACTTATTCTTACAGATTGCAATCTCTCCTTGGTCTCCTTCTCTCCTTTGCTTCCTGTATTTGAGTGATTCCCCCAGTCAATCATCTCCTTATCCAGGTTCCATCTCAAAGCATAAATCTCTTTTCCAGATGCTTGGCTTCCCAAGAGCCAAGCAGCAATGGCAGCACCTGGCACACTTCTCTCTGCTGGAGTTTCAGGGGTCCTAGGAATTGGTATAGCCAGCAAATAATAGGGAGCTCAGAATTACTAGGCATTCAGTGTTTGTATACATAACAGTCCCTCATGACAGCAGGCAGGTTAATGTCTGTTTCAGAAGCCAGTGGCCAGAGGCACTTTCATCTCATATATATAGAATCCCTATTCAATCATACATCCATGTAAAATACTCCATTCTCTTTGAAGATCCTACCAATACTGGCAGTGTCAGCTGGTAATTTCACTAAGGAATAAATTTTTGCTAGTTTCTGAAACAATCTGATATTTAAATATTATAAGTTACTTAAGCATCAAAATGGGCTGTGAACAATTTAAATTTTAGAAACAATTCTTTTTTAATGTAGAAATGTCAGTTTTATCTCCAAGTTATCCTTTATCAATATCTGATGTTTGCATTTAATAGACTGTGTTTGTTTTTTCTTAATGATGGAAAAAATGTTGCAATTCAGAAGAGAAAAAAATAGTATTTGCATGTCTTAAGGAGCAGCATCTTCAATCACAGTAACATAGTACTTGCCCCCTTCCTGAGACTGAGTGCTCATTCTGTAGTGCATAACTGTGATGAACCCAGAGACCAGTTTCTTCTGTACAAGTATAATTATTAGTTTTTATTTGGAATTCCCACTATAGAAAGTGTTACATGCTCAGCATTTGGGGAAGGTTCTTGAGAGCATTGACATCAGAGCCCTGAAATATTCTCTGCACTTGGTTGATTGTCTTTCAGACCCTTTAAAAATGTCACAGAATATGATGGGCAGGATGCCTGTGGCTCCAATAGCTGGAACATGGTGGACGTGGACCTCCCTCCCAACAAAGATGTGGAACCTGGCATTTTACTGCATGGGCTGAAGCCCTGGACTCAATACGCAGTCTATGTCAAGGCCGTGACCCTCACCATGGTGGAGAATGACCACATTCGTGGGGCCAAGAGTGAAATCTTATACATTCGTACCAATGCTTCAGGTATCTACAAATCAGACACACCCCCATCTCCTGCCTCTTTATGACCTGTTGTACTTGGATAGACAAGGTATAGTTGTAGAGCCAGTCATAAGATATACCTATAGTCTTTCTTGTCAACGTGTAACACTGTATTACATTTTTTTCCCGCTGCTAATATCTTAGAGGCTCCCGTGCCATTTTCTGGACTTGCTGTGACCTTTCATCCTCTACCTGCTCTGTGCCAATAAGCCCAGGTCCTCCGGGGTCCTGGGATAGTTTCCTTGGAAGGCCCCACCAGGAAATAGCCCCTTGTGGCTGCCTTTTTTGTTTATTTTGATGCTTAAACCTCTGGGAACTGAAGCCATGCTGATTGATCTGTGTACCACTAACCTCTTGTGGCTCATTGGTTTTCCATTTTTATAATCACTAGTGTTCCTAAGAAATGGACAAAACCCAAAAACTCAAGACCTACTTTGTCGTGGGTATATGATTATTGACTGAAGATGTTTCGTCTTCATATTCTAAAGCACTTCATTTCTCAACTCCATAATCTGGAAACAACAAAAGCAACATTTGTATATATTTGTATTTTCCAAGTATATAAAGACTAATTTAGAAGTAGAGAGCTACCCTTCATTTTTAAAGACACTGCCTGTTATAATAAATATATCATAGCCTGGGTGACTTATAAACAACAGAAATTTATCTCTCAACAGTTCTGGAGGCTGAAAGTCCAAGATAAAGACATGTGCACCTTTGGTATCTGGAGAGGGCCAACTTCTTGGTTTATAGAAAGCTGTATTTTTGCTGTGTCCTTACATTACAGAAAGAATGGGCAAGGGGACCTCTGATGTCCTCTTTGTAAGAGCAGTAATTCCATTTACTAGACTCCACCCTTGTGATTTAATCACCTCTCAAAGGCCCCATCTTCTAATGCCATCTGCAGGGGAATAGTATTTCCACATATGAATTTGTGGGAGGTTTGGGGTAATAGTCTACAGCACTGAGAAGCATTTTTTGATAATGACTGCTCTTAAAAAGAGCAAGGTATTTTTTTAATACTCATAAACCTAACACAGAATAAGTTTAAATGGCAGAAAGGGTGAGAATAAAAAGTAGATGGGGAAAACCTTTTGTTCGTGCATGCCTGGTTCCCCCTCCTTTCCCCTGCCCCATTTCAGTGACCCTGTAAGTGGTCACAGTAATGTCACTGACCCTAAAGAGTTTATAGAGATAAAGTTGGCATAGGCTTCTAACCCTTGGCAAGGCTTCATACAGCAGAAGTTCAAATGCACCAGAATAAGTTTTCCTCTTAACATTTGGAAGAAACCCTTCCCAGTAAAACACTGTGACTAGTTTGAGAAAGAAATAGAAAATTCTCCTTCGTATAGCAAAAAAAAAAAAAAATTAATTTTAAGCAATACTGGAGATTGAACCCATTGGACTTATTTGACCACTGAACTACCACTGATGTTTTCTGGTCCTTTTTATTTTTTATTTTGAGATAGGGTCTCACTAAATTGCCCAGCTGGCCTTGAACTTGGAACACTCTAGCCTCAGTGTCCCAAGGAACTGGAGTCACAGGTGTGCACCACCACACCCAACTGTTACAGCAAATTCTTAAGAAACCTGTTTCTTTTCCCCAAAGATAGAAAACCAAGCCCTGTACAGATTGACTCAGCTTACTCCATTTTGGCCCCTGTCCTTATGAGTGGTAGAGATAAATAATGACTTGGTCCTCTCTCTTTGCTTTTTGGTGGCACCTGTCATTGTAATATCTAACAATAAGGTGTTTGTTTTTGAAATGCTTGTTTTTGGAAACTCTAAATTGGCTGAGCATCAAGTGGTTTTGTTTTCTTTAAAAAACTAGCATTAATCCTACCTTTTCCCAAAGAGGCATTCCTTAAAGGTGTTGGATCTTTGTGTATTTTATATATCTTTTGCACCTTGGAAAAATCATTGAAATTGGTGCTTTTTTGTGAGCCTTATGAGAACAAGATTTCATTGGCCCTGGGATATGTTTTCCCTATTTGCATAAGTTAGTTCTGGATTTGGGTTAGGTTGTCATTAGTAAGTAAAGGCTGATTGGATTATTATGCTTTGCCTAAAATCGGTATTATTTTGCTGCCCACAGAATCCTTGGCTTAAAATCAGGGCTTAACATGTGTTTGATTTTTAGGCTGCTTTTCAGAGTCACGTCTCATCGTTCCACTGAAGCATGACTGCAGGATTGGTGGATTTCCATGCTCTTGGTCTCATCTGTCCCTTTGACCCCTCTCACACAGGTGCATGCTCACATGCACTCATACACTCTCACACATGGTCTGCAGCCCCCATTCTACTGCCACCTTTCATTTGGTATTCTTGCCATTTTTATCAGAGATTCAAAATTTCAGATGAAATTCGAATCAGTCACTTTTAGCATTTGTTAAAATTGCCAGAGTTAAACATTTTGGAGAATGGCAGTTGTAATAAATGAGAAAGATCAAGTGTTTGAATTGACGGTAGATTTTGTCATCTGTTCTAACCCTGGTTTTGCCCCAACAACCTTTCCCATTTGCAACTCAGCAGTGTTTGTTTTTACAAAGATTACCCAAAAATAAATGCTGTAAAGGGAAATGTTGGCATTTAAATTAAAATTTTTTCAAAACAGTGTTCTGTTTTCTCTTTGTGTTTCAGTGTTCATTGCTATCTTCTGGTGCAGGTCAAACTTGCAGGTTCCTGTTGGTTTGCAGTGAGTACCTGATAGCCTCCACCTTAGGTTCATTTCATTTTCTGAAATGTTTTTTGTTCTCCTTTCTAGTTCCTTCCATTCCCCTGGATGTCCTTTCAGCATCGAACTCCTCTTCTCAGCTGATTGTGAAATGGAACCCCCCATCTCTACCCAACGGTAACCTGAGTTACTACATTGTGAGATGGCAGCGGCAGCCTCAGGACGGCTACCTGTACCGGCATAATTACTGTTCCAAAGGTAAGGTTGCCGGCAGTGGCCCAGTTGGGAGGTGCACCTGTTCATGCCCATTGTCTGAACGTATCTGAGCCCACTAAAAACCAACCATGTAATAGTGTAATTTCCCTACATTAGAAACCAGCACTTTCTTGATTAAAGGTGCTGATAGCTATTCTTTCTCCTCACAAGCCAGTTGTACTTGGCTTTCATTCCTATTCTCCCTTTCACTTCTCTTTTCTTGGAAGACAAAATCCCCATCAGGAAGTATGCTGATGGCACCATTGATGTCGAAGAGGTAACAGAGAATCCCAAGACTGAAGTGTGTGGTGGTGAGAAAGGGCCTTGCTGTGCTTGCCCTAAAACTGAAGCTGAGAAGCAAGCTGAGAAGGAGGAGGCTGAATACCGCAAAGTCTTTGAGAATTTCCTGCATAACTCCATCTTTGTGCCCAGGTACCTGTACCATTTGAAAACATCCCTAGAGGATGGTGATGCTTGAGCAGATTCTGTTGCTTTTGTCTTTACTTGGTAGTGTGGGACATGATACAGGAGGCCACTGAGAGGGAACAATGGGAGGTGACATTGGCTTAGTCAAGTAAGTGGAGCTTCTGTGGAAACTGGTTAGTCCTAAAAGGAAGGGGACTGGGGCTCCTGTTATTAGGCACTGCAGGTATGATGGGTGCTACCTCACCCATACAGCCTCCTGCAGACAGCAGGTGGGGTCCCCCACACAGATACTGAGAGATGAGGCTCAGAGGTCTCCAGTCACATGTACACACTCATGGAAATCAGCTAAAGGAAAAGGCAGGATCTGGGCTCATCTCTGCCCTTTCCATTTCTCCCCAATGCTGGCAGAGAAGGTTTGAAGCAAGAGGGGGAAAGTCAGAGTCAAACCAACTTCAGAATGTAACCATATGCCCCAGGCATCCTTCACAAGCAGGTTTGGGAAGCAGCATAGAACACATAGTCTTTCAAAGTAACAGATACCCTGCTTCAAGGAGTCACTCTGCTCCTGTGCTCTAAGCCTTGGTTTCTGTGAAGTGGGAACAGAAATGGAGGAATAGACATTTTCTGTAGCAATACTATTCATAGTAACAAAAGCTAGAAACAACTCATTGTCCGTCAGCAGATGAATGGATAAACATATGTGGTACAAATAGATGGACTAGGATTCAGCCATGAAAAGGGAGGAAATTCTGATACATGATACAACATGCATGAATCCTGCAAATGACATCCCAATAAAGCCAGACACAAAAGAATAAATACTATATGGTTCCATGTATATGAAATATACAGATTAAGCAAGTGTATAGTAGGTTAGAATTTTCTAGGAGCATAGAGTAAGGTGATGAGGGCAATGGGGGAATTATCTTGAAATGGGTGGAGTTTCTGTTTGGGTTGGTGAGAATTTTTTTGCAAAAATGGTGATGATTGTATAACTCTAATGAATGCAATTAATGCTACTAAATTACACAGGTAAATAGTTATAATGGCAAAAGTTTATACTATAGATATGCTTTTTAATTTTAATACTTTATCAAAAAGTGAATTAAATGGTTTTTAAGAACTGGAGGAAACCTCAGCAGAGTTGGCTGGTAATGTCTGAGAAAAGACTTGGAGTGGAGGTCCTTGACTCCCTTTATAATCTTCTTCCTGAAGATTATAGTGCAGAATTCAGAAATAGCCTCATATCTGAAAACTGGGCAGAAAGCTGGATTCGGACCAGCAGTGTCTCTCCAAGGTGTCAATGCCAGTCCCCAGGATGCCCTAGCTATCAACACTCTGCCTGGCCTTTTCTCTTCCTCTGAGACCTTGGAAGCTTGAAGCTGCACTTTATTCCATATTTACTTTGTCCTTAAAGACTGTCTTCAGTTGTAACAACAAATGGATTTTAAAGTGATTTTTTTTTCTGTCAAGTGACTTTCATGATACTTGTGAAATGGTCAGAGATAGCCATCTTACTTTGAAGAATCAGTAAAGTAGGAAATAAAGACCTTTTGGAAGTGGAGGTACTACTTCCTTTTGAGAATGAAAATCCTCACTGTTTGGTGGCTTTCTTCCCATCCCTTCCCTTCTATCTCTCACTTAAAGCCTCTAGAGCAATGAGGGCCCAGGAGGCTACCACCAGCCCTACCACCATCCCACTGGGAGAGCTCCTATTGGCTGACAGATTATAGGGCTGCTATTTCAGTGTCATCCTTGTATTTTAGTGTGCATTGCTATTTTCTTATCCATGATATCTGTGTACCGTGTGTGATTCCTAGAATCTAAAAGCTTAAGGACTGGAAAAAGCTAAGAGATATTTGAAATCAGAACTTAGTGAGGCTTGGTGACCCCTCTGACATCCTAACTAATTTAGTTTCTGGGTCTTGGACATGCTTTCTCATAAACAAAAGCTCTTTCTTGCCCTGCATCTTCCACATGATCCACTCCACCTGGGCCAGCAGAGGCTCAGCTACTGGCAGTCACTGTTGTTGTAAGGTTGGAGGTTGGATGAATATAGAATGTCTCAAGCAGATTGGGCAGGAAGTATGTTTATTTGTTTGTGTTTTTGTTTTTTTTGTTTTGTTTTGTGGTGCTGGTGATCAAACACTGGATCTTACATATACGAGACAACACTCTACCTCTGATCTACATACCTGGCCCCAAGAAGTTGTCTGTGTGTTTACCATCAGAGGCTATTGGTTATACTGATACATTTATTATTCAATCTACTTTTCCAAAAGTTCAGATTTTTAAGGATTTAGAAAGTGTTACTAGTCCATTTTCTGTTACTATAATAAAATACCTGAGGCTCAGTTTTAGAGGAGAGAGCAAAAGTTAGCAAGATGCCAGAGAGATTCAGCAGTTGGCCTTGCTCTTTTTAACAACTCACTTTTGCAAAAACAGCTAATTTACTCCTTGAGACCAGCATTAATCCCTTCTGAGAGCAGTGCCCTCAGTGACTTAATTATTTCCCAATAGGCCCGCCTCTTAAAGATTCCACCACCTCTTAATACAACCATACTGAGGACTAAGCTTCCTATACAAGAACTCTCAGTGGACAAACCATTAACAATGCAAAGGTTTTGCTGAAAGGCCCCTAGCTTTCAATTATAGTGACAAGACAATATCTTTTTTGTCATCAGAGGTAGAACACCAGACTAAGTGGTGTGAAGGTGGTCATTAAATTGACACAGATGTTGTTAATGCAAAGCATTTATTTATTTATTTTAATTATTTATTGTTTATTATTTCTTACATACATCACAATAAAGGAATGCAAAGCATTTATATTGTTGGGTTTAAAATAAGTTTCCTCTGTGCCACATCCCATAGCATGACTCTCTCTCCCAAAATAAGTCCAACTTCGTTCTCTCTTTTCATGGGAAGAATACCCATGTTTTGTCCATGCTAAGAGGCCACAATTTGTAAGAATTTTCATTGGTTTTTGCCTCATAATGAGGCATAAATCTGATATTCATGTAAGTTCTGAGAAGATTCACATAAAGAGGTATTCAAATGACAGAATAACTGAATCACCAAGTCTCATTTCTTGTTTTTACAGCTTACCAAAAACTTTTTGATTTCTTTCAATCCATTCTAAGAACAATTTATTTGGGAGCTAAAATCAAATAAGTCAAATACAGTCCCTTCCACATGGTCCCATGTGTCCTTTGTGTTTGAAATAGAATGGAAGGTAGAGTTTGTCAAGTTACTTTCTGAAGTCAGTGTTGGGTGGTAAACACCTTTCCTTTACCACCATCTTTAATTTTCAAATACATAGTTTGCTTTATCTAACTAAAACATTGACAGATGTTGAGAAGTAAAATGTTTTCCAATAGGAGTAAGTTGTATCATGGAGTAGAGTGAAGAAAGTTGGCAGTATTTCTTATTGGTCATGCCATTGGAATGTAGCTATGACAAAGAATTATGTATGGGCCATTTTGCTTACCTGAGCCTGTACCTTCCTGCTAATGTTCTTTGTTGCCTACCTCCCTCAACCCCTGACTTGATGTCCATAGCAGTAGCTATGTGGTCTCCAAAAGTGTGGTGTTTACAAATAAGTAAAATGTTAAGTACTTTAATGGTGTAATACCATTTCAACAGGAGTGGCTGGGGGAGGGCATAGACCAGAACTATTTTTGCAGTAGATCAAACCTAAGCAGCTTCTTACTTGTAAACTTAAGTGTGTATTGTGTTGGTTTTCAAGTAAGGGCAGAAAATTTGTTGGTAACGTGTTGAAAAAGATCTCCCTAGCAATAAATGTTGTTTCTTGTGTCCTTTCCTTCCAAGAAGGTAGGTGGTTAGTTGGTTGTTTTGCACAATGCAAGAATGGTGAGTTATTGACCTCATTTCCTAATCCTTCCCCAGCATTATAAAAACAAATTCACATGCCCCTGATATTGTAGGTTGCTACCTTTTGGAATGAGCTTAACTATTGGGTGGTTTCTGCCTTTAATGGTGTCCAAGTATCACTATACAAAGAAAGACCATGTGTTCTGCTGAAAAATCCATGGGCTGAGCAGACAAGGGAGCCCATGGTCTTTTCTCCTGGCCTCCTACCTTCCAGATTTAGGCCTAGGGACCAGAAAGAGGCTTGTGAGGCATCCACTGAACTTTTCACATATCTTCCGGGATGCCTTCTTCCCTGGGTGAACTTTTTTTTCCCTGCTACTGCTCTCCCTCATACATGAGGCTGACAAGCTTCCTATATTCTGAGCTTTCTCATTTTTTTTTAACTCTTACTTTTCTTACCAGGCAAGGTTTATTTCATTTGCTCCCAGCTACCCTTTGCCCATTCATAAGACAAGCAGCCATCCAGTAGCCTCACACCCTATTTCCTTCATGGTGCATGGCTAACCTAAGGGTGGTTGGTGTGCTGTCTGGATGTTCCTCTCATGCTGTTTAGTTTTCTTGGTTCCTGTAAAAGTTAGGAGCCTGGTTTTTGTTGTTGTTGTTTGTTTGTTTGTTTAGTTTGGTTTTTTTTTTTTTGGCGGTGCTGTGGATTGAACCCAGGGTTTGTGCATGCAAGGCAAGCACTCTACCCACTGAGCTATACCTCCAGCCCAAGGAGCCTGTTTTTAAGGTTTCTGAGGGAAGCCCCTTTTTCTATAGCCCACCAAAACACCAATTGGAGAGTCACACCTTCATCTGCCCTTTTGGGTATTGTTGTTCTTCCCTGGGGATTTTATGCATTCCCTTTTTCTTTGTTGTTGTTGTTGTTGTTTCTGTTTCAAGCCCTACTCAAATCTGTGACAAAGGCTGAGTCTTGAGGAGGCCACAAGGCCCACTGCTGAGAGGGAGGCAAAGCTGGGCTCCAGAGATTTACAGGAGTAAGGCCTGCACCAGGGATTTAGGGTGGGACTTTCTTTTTCTTTTGTTTGTTTTTGTTTGTTTTGTTTTGGTACTGGGGATTGAACCTAGGGGTATTTAAACACTGAGCCATGTCCCTACCCTTATTTATATTTTATTTAGGGACAGGGTCTTATTGAGTTACTTAGGGTCTCACTAAGTTGCTGAGGCTGGATTTGAACTTTTGATCCTCCTGCCTCAGCCTCCTGAGCCATTGGGATTATAGGTGTGTGCCACTGCTCCCAGCTAGGGTTAGGATTTTCAATTAGCAGGATTCTCCAAGAAAGGATCCTGAAGTTCAAGCACTTGCTTACTGCTCAAATCGTGGCATCTTTATTTTATTTCAGAGGGAACCCAAGAAGCCACTATTACAGGCCTTTGAATTCCTTCTGCCCCATCTAGCTGAGGCCTGAGCAACCACATCACCTCTCCCCTCATAAATCTTAGTGCAACTAGTAGATTTGACCCCTACATATTTAACCACAAGGTCTGTGACCAGATGGCACTGATCAAACAGTGAAGATACTGCCTAGCCCAGGGTGGCTCTGGGATTTAGTAAGAAGCATATGTGCTGTTCCTGAGGGGTAGAGTTGAGAAAGCAAGATAAGTAAGAAAATCCCCATATTATTTGTTGGTTCTTACCCAAAGGGGTTAAATAGTTCCTTTTGTTACAAGGGTTAGATTTTTCTTTTCTGTTATTCTTTCTTACTCTAGTCAAAGAAAAGACAAAAGAGGCAGAAACACTTATAAGCCAAGCTTCTCTCTTCCTTGCAGACCTGAAAGGAAGCGGAGAGATGTCATGCAAGTGGCCAACACCACCATGTCCAGCCGAAGCAGGAACACCACAGTGATGGACTCCTACAATATGACAGATCCAGAAGAACTTGAGACAGAGTACCCTTTCTTTGAGAGCAGAGTGGATAACAAGGAGAGAACTGTCATCTCTAACCTCCGGCCTTTTACTTTGTACCGCATTGATATTCACAGCTGTAATCATGAGGCTGAGAAGCTGGGCTGTAGTGCCTCTAACTTTGTCTTTGCCAGAACCATGCCTGCAGGTATGGTTTGGTCCAGCTAGCCCCACTGCTGACTCAATCACAGCTTAGTAGAGAAGGTTGTGTTTTGTGGACATAGGGTCTTAAATCCAGGTTGACAACTCTGAGACTCAGTCCTACTAAGGAATATGTATGTGGTCATTAGTAGACAGCCTGGTAGACCAGCTGCCCAGGAAATGGAGCTCATGCTGTCACTGTGATGTCATTCCTATCTCAGGCTCTCCAAAGAAAATACTGGAGAGCTAAGAGCTCCCTGTAGAGTCCCCACTCCTCTGCTTGGCTCACATTTGCATTTGCATAGTCCCTGGCCTCATAAACTATTCTTCACTTCTGCATTCTCATAGTTTCTGTATGAACCCCTGTTGACTACCTGGGTCCCAGAATGACCATTACTCCTCAAGTCACTATTAGAGTAGCCAGTGGTCCTGCTTATTTGAATATGCATTTCCCTTGTATGTTAGACACTGCCTGTTGCTCAGACAACCATTCATATCTTTGAAGATGAATGAACTGCCCAGCCCTCACTCCTGTAAGAGGCTTCAGGCAGTAGAAAGGGCATGGAGGCGACTAAAGTATGGGAAGGGAGGCTTCCTTGACATAGTTTTGGCACTGACATGTAGCATTCCCTGGCCAGTCCTCAGCCTCCAGTGCCTCAGTTTCCCCAACACTCCTCTAACATAGACCAGCTAATCTTTTGTACTAAGGATTGAACCCAGGGGTGCTTTACCACTGAGATATGTACCTCCGATCTTGTGTGTGTGTGTGTGTGTGTGTGTGTGTGTGTGTGTGGTGCTGGGGATTGAACCCAGGGCCATGTGCATGCACTCTACCAACTAAGCTATATCCCCAGCCCTATCCCCCAGTTCTTTTTATTTTTTGTTTTGAGACAGGGTCTCAGCAAATTGCTTAGAGCCTTGCTAAATTGCTGAGGCTAACCTCGAACTTAGAATCCTCCTGCTTCAACCTCCCAAGCCACTGGGATTACAAGTGTGCGCCACCATGCCCAGCCCAGCTAATCTGTAGACATCTTTGTCAGTAGAATTTTCCATGACTTTGGCTTACTACATTCCTTTAGAAAGAGGGGTCAGGAATAGATGATGGCAGGGTCAGCTCACTTGCTCTCAGCACCTGTTTCTTAGTAGTATCTTTACAGACTGGCTTTGTAGCTATCCTTCACATACAACATAGAACTTGTAATTGCTATGTATATGTGGCCCTTGGAGGATCCGTGTCACAACCTGGAGGCTCCATGCACTACTTCAGCTTGTCAGCACCCTTTCAGTGTTTTGTTATTTGATGGGCTCTTTCTTCAAGAGGTAGAAGTAACAGAAAAAGAAAATTACTTATAGTGCCAGGAAGTTTTTATGCTTGGTCACAGGCGCTTCTGGTGGGGGACTCGTGGCATCTTGAGATTCATGAGTCATCAGGTAGGTCCAGTTTCTAAACCTGTGTTGTGTGTGTAAGCAGCCAACTCAGGAGGAGCCCACATGATCACTGTCCACAGCCACGCCCCCACAGATTTGGGGAGGAGGGTTGTTCTCAGGTGACCCCAGCATTTGTCACCCTCTTTGGGGACCTGAATCCAACTTTGTCCCTTATTTAAATTGTTGTACAGAAGGAGCAGATGACATTCCTGGCCCAGTTACCTGGGAGGCAAGGCCTGAAAACTCCATCTTTTTAAAGTGGGCAGAACCTGAGAACCCCAATGGATTGATTCTAATGTATGAAATAAAATACGGATCACAAATTGAGGTGAGACTGGGGCTTTCCTTTGCAGCTGCATGTATTTCCATCAGGGTTGACAACATGTGCAATGTTATACTCAATTTACTTGCTGTTAGCTTAGCTTCAAACAATAAGATTGTGTGGAAAGTTGGTGAGGATTTAGGTCTTTCCAGCAGCTCCATGCTTCTGGAAGGAAGCTAGAATGCTTCTCATCCTCAGAATAGTTTCATTGTAGAAAATTATCTCATGACATAGGTTAGGTCAGTCAATAATTTTTAACTCTCCTAAAGTTCTTTTGGGTTCCAAAGTGTTTGATTACAGTTTTGGGATATTGTTTAAATGACTTGAGGGAGGATCATTTTGGGGGGTGGGGCTGGTCAAAGATTGGGCAGCTAGAGTCACCGAGGTAGCAAGTGAGCTGGCAAGTGCCATATATCTACTATGTTTGTAGGCAGTTGATGCATGTGTTTTATTTCCCCTCAGGATCAGCGAGAATGTGTGTCCAGACAGGATTATAGAAAATATGGAGGGGCCAAGCTCAACCGGCTAAACCCAGGGAACTATACCGCGCGGATTCAGGCTACCTCTCTCTCTGGGAATGGGTCATGGACAGATCCTGTGTTCTTCTATGTCCCAGCCAAAAGTAAGGCTATTGAAAGAGTAGTGTGATAAAACTGAAAGCTGGTCCAGGATTCAGGAAGGCTGGGTTGCTAAGGATAAAATGGCATAGACCAACTCTCAGAAGTGTCATGCTAAAAAGCCAGTGCCTTGTCTGGGAAATCAGTCTAGGGGATTGCTGGACTTTGAGTCCCTACCTCGTGTGACTGGTTGGAAGAGGGTCTGAGTTCCTCTTTTTGGAATGGTGCAACCACTGTTGAGCCAGTAAAGACCTCTGCTTTCACCTTGGTCTATGTTCAGAGCCATTTACATGCTAACCATAGTTAATAATAGTGTATTATATTCTTGAATATTATTAAGAGAGTAGATTTTTTAAATGTTCTCACCCCCCAAAATGATAGCTATGTGATATAATGCATGTTAATTATCTCAATGCATACATATTTCAAAACATGATAAATACATATGTGATTTTATATGTCAAAATAAATAGATATTTTCTTTAAAAAAATAAAACAAGGACTGTAGTAGTTTAGTCAACACTGAATATTCAGAGATATACATGATTATCTGAAAATCCTCTATGACAGATAGCAAAAGGATAGGAGTGAATAGAATTGTAAACTGAGGTGATAGTTTATGTATCTGGCACTGTGCTGTCCCTGAGTTCAGGTTTCAAAGGTAAATAATTGCTTAGGCCGATAATTTTGTCAGTTAAAATAGTCTGAATTCTCCCATTTAGTCCACTTAAGCTAGTCTGACCAGTTAGCTTATATGACTTTTCATTACTGTGACAAAACATCTGAGATAATCTATTTATAAGGAAAAAATATTTATTCTGGCTTATAGTTTCAGAAGATTCAGTCTATGAGCAGTTAGCTTCATTACTTTTGGATGTGTGGTGATACAGTATATTATGGTAGGCAGTATGTGGTGAAGCAGAGCTGCTCACCTCCTGCTGGTTGGGAAGCAAAGATAGACTGGAAGGGACTGGGGTCCCAATATCCCCTTCAAGGCACACTCCCAGTGACCTAACTCCCTCTCGCTAGATTCTACCTCCTAAAGATTCTACCACCTCCCAATAGATGCTCCAAACAAGAAGCTATAGAAGTAAAAAATACAATTGATAATTTAGACTTAACAGACATATAGAATATCAATGACTGAATACACTTTCTTAGCAGCACATGTAGCCTTCTCTAATATAGACCATGTTATGTAAACTATCACATACATTCACATTCAATTATAATATTACCTTAATATATTTTAACATCTGTAAGATTATTAGATAGCTCTCTTTCCATTGATATTAATTTTTGTGTTCTTGCTTATTTTCTTGATTAGATTTATTTATCAAATTTTAGCTGTATTATTTCTTATTTTGTATATTTTTAAATAATTGACATGTGGATTTGGGGTTCTATATATCTTATGGTGATTGATTCCTAATGTAATAAATCATGCAGGAAACCCAGTCTGCATGATTTCAAATTTTAAAAAAAAAAAGTAATGGAAATGCTTTTTTATTAACTATATTGGTTACATACATGTTGAAACTGATCAAATTGCATACTTCAAATATGTGCATTGTATTGTACTTCAATTTTATCTTAATAAAGTTATGGGGGGGATATTCTACCACTTCCAAATAGCACCACAGACTGGGAGCTTAGCTTTCAACACATGGGCCTTTGTGGAACATTTATCCAAACTACAGTTTATGCCACTTTTCCAGTACCTGAAACTCTAACAACATTCATATAACCCTCACCAGAGTGGTGGCTTTTTCCCTCTCCCTCAATCCCCAGCATCCCCAAGGATTAGAGCCTAGGCCTGGGGTCTTGGCATTTGGCTGTGATCTATGAAACAGCATCCTTGGCTTTAGGGCTTAGTGAACTTGGCTTTTCTTCAGAGAGGTCATTTTCCTTTCTGCCTTTTCTGTTCCTTATGTAACCCTGTGAGTGCCAGGATGCCACTGGGGAACCCAAGAGTCACTCTGATGGAGTTTCTCCAGCAGAAGTTGGCATGAACTGCAGGGAAATTGAAACCACATGCCAGTTTTGCTGCTGGGAAGCTTTTCCTTATGTCAGACAAGACTCTCCCACTACAGTTTAGTCTCATTTCCTCCTGTTTAATCCTCAGAGGAGATGGAAGCTTTGGAAGCTTTCTGGCACTTGCTATCTTTTTAGGAACAAAAAATCTGTATGTGCTTGAATACTATTAAATTGTCCCCCAGACTTCCCTTCTCCAGATTAAATATTCTCAAGTCTTTGGCCTTTTTTTGCAGCCCAGTTGCAGAGATCAATTTTCTAACCATTTACTCATTTTGTTCTTCTCTGGATATGATCCAATTTCTCCATGTGCCTGTTGAAATGTGAAACTTAAACACAGTAGAACCTGACAGTAGTACCAGTGATATAAATACAACAAATAGTCTATGGGCTAGTTCTAGTCTAAGGGGAAACAAAGAAGCCTCCTAGCTTCTGATACCTCATGAATATTTTGAAACTTGCATTCATTTTGAAAGATACTTGATAAATATATTTTTAATGTAAAAAAATTTGAAGCATCCTTAATAGTCTTTAAAGAGAATGTATGTGTTTTTATTTTAAAGAGAAATAATAATAACAGATTTTAGTAGCAAAATAATCATTGACTTATGGTCCTCGTAACTTGGTCCCCAGTGAGTTCAAAGCCCATTTCCAAGTAGACATCTCTATTTGGATGTCCATTGGGTACCTCTTGCTCCTTGTGCACAAAACCAAAATCTAAATTCCTGTCCTCAAAACACACACCTCTTTTCTCCTTGGTTTCTTAGCTCAATCAGTAGCCCTGATCACCCAAATAAGGAACTTCACAGTTATCCTTCATTCTTCTTTCTCTCCAGCCACTCATTTTTCATTCCAATCCAAGTCATATGGATTCTCTCTCTGCCTCTTAAATGTCTCTGGAACCCACCTCCACTACCGCAGGTCAGAGCCTGCCGGTTGCTTGTGTTCTGGTGGTATTTTGAGGTGTGGCTGTAGAAAGCCTGGCTTCCCATCTTGGAACCATGACTTACCAGCTACCCCTATGACCTTGGGAAGGCAAGGTTATCTCTGTAATCTGGCTTGTTTATAGAAAAGGAGCAGTGATTTCTTCCTGAAGTCAGAACTGAGTACCACAGAGCATCCCCAGAGGTTGCAGCATATTTCCTCCCAATTCTCCAAGACATGGCAGTGGAGAGGACCCCAGTCTCTTCTTGGACCCCAGCACATGAATCTGATCAGTTCACTGCTGGTTTTGAAAACTTTTGTTGACTCCTTTAAATCTGAATAATGGAGTTGAAACCACTTGGTTTGGTCTAAGCCCCTGGTGAGCTGGCCCCTGGCTTCTCTCCAGTGTCATCTTTAAGCCATTCCTCTGCTTATAAAATCATTTATCCCAAGGAAAGTGTATCTTTCTCTTTCAAGACTCAGGCTAAAGAAATTTTCTCCTATGGAGCTTCCCTTAACTCCCCTTTCTCCTCTCCCTTGCTCTCTGTATCCTTGCCATTATGTGTGGTCTACTTTTCTCTACCTTTTGACATGATTTCCTGCATCTGGCAGAATTTTCAGGGGTACACATCTGAATCCCTTTTGCCCAACTTATCATCTGTTATACAAGTCTGGTGACAAGTGCACTCATGGTCTCAAGACTTTAACAGGTCTCAAATGATTGTGAAAATTTAGAGCAGCATTGGCAAGGGGTACCATCCGGTTATTTTAAATTTTTTATGGAATTATGTTAACAGGTAAAGGTCAGTATATATATAAGTAAATGTTATTTCAGCAAATGTGTGTGTATCCACTAAGAATCATTAAACTACGTACAGAGACTCCTTCAGTCCATCATTTAAGCTATTATATCAGAATATACTGCGTTAAAAAAATAAACATATACCTCATTCTACATGTAACTTTTTTTTTTTTGACAGAAGTGGGAATTGAACCCAAGGGTGCTCTACCACAGAGCTATATGCCCAACCCTTTATTTCCTCTTTTTTCAAATATTCCATTTGTTTGCTTTGCTATTTCTGATACCATTTACCTTCAGGAATTCCTAGTGTTCAATAGGAGAGTACAAAAGCTTTTAGGGATTTTTTTTTTCATATTTTTACATGAATTTGAAAGATAAAATGAGCAGATTGTTCACCTAATGACATTATATCATGTCCTTCTCATTTCTGCAGCAACGTATGAGAATTTCATCCATCTGATCATCGCTCTGCCGGTCGCCATCCTGTTGATCGTGGGAGGGCTGGTGATAATGCTGTATGTCTTCCATAGAAAGAGGTGAGCACTGGGGCCAATTTAAGACAATTTTTGCAGCCAAGTGGTTTGATTATTTGAGCATGAGCAAAGGTCAGCTCTTTCAGGAAATATTATACAGAGTGGAAAACTTTATAGTCAAACGTTCTTTACAGGAGAATAGAACATTTTCTAATGATTTAACAACAACAAAAAGGGTTATTTTCTTCATACCCCTCTTCCCTTCATTGGTTTCTCTGATGCACAGGTTATGCTGGCTAACATGGAGCTTTTCCACACATGCCCCCCCCCCATCACATAAACTGTGTTATTTCCATTGAACAAGGAAACTATTATTTCTTAAAAAACTCTGATCTGAGGCCACCAAAGAAGCCAAAAGATGTGTCCTCAAATATCTACTGGCCCTAGACTGAACTGGGGTTGCAGACCAGAGCTCCTGTTAGCAGTTAGCACTCTTCCCTTTCTTTCTCAAGATACTTCATGAATCAACAAATAAGTCAGATGTAACAAAGATGAAAATATCTCCAGAAAGATGGAGAATAGGGTTTCTTAACCTGAATTTTCTCATTTCTTGGCAGGAATAACAGCAGGCTGGGGAATGGAGTGCTGTATGCCTCTGTAAACCCAGAGTACTTCAGCGCAGCCGATGGTAAGAGTCTTACCCAGGGTCTCTGGCGGTGGGGAAGTCGGGAGCTGTCAGGAATATTATTAACTGGGGAAGAGGTTTGTGTTATTTTGAGGTACCTTTGCCCAGGGTCCATCTTTGATAACCTAAATCAATCAATCAATCAATCTATCTATCTATCTATCTATCTATTTTTTAGCATCTCAGTGCATTTGTCAAAAATTTTGAGACTGTGTTGGATACCCCAAGGAAAAATAGGCTTTAGAAATAAATGTCACGAGCACAGTAATCAGTTTATTTAGTTCCTTAAAATTTTATGCCAGAATGAAAGAAACTTTCTGTTAACATGTAATCATTGAATGTGCTGCTGATGATAAAACAGTCCTTTTAATTCTATTTTGGCTAGATGGTCAAGGCATTCCAGTTGTCTCTGGCCATTAAGGGCTGCTCTGGTTTATCTTAGAATTCTTCTGTCATATCTGTCATGAATTCTAAGATAAACCAGAATGACAGAAGAATGACATTCTTCTGTCATTCTGGTTTATCTTAGAATTCATTCTGTCATTACCCTCCTGAGGAGGGTAATACAGTTTTTTTTTTTTCCCTGATTCACATTCCCTTTGTTAATACCTAATGAGAGTCATTTAGTTAAATGGCACAGAAAGTCTGACTTGGAAGCTGGATTGTACTCAATGGTTATTTCCCTTCCTCCACCCCACCCCCACTTTTTAGCTTTCTTTTCTTGCTAGTACACTTAAATACAAACTTAAGTTAGGCTAAGGGTGGTTGCCATTGGGACCTACAGGACTATACCTTTGTCACTTTGCTAGGGGCTTTTCCAAACACTGTCCAATGTTCTCCCTACTCCTCCTCTGGGTGGGTTTCCTTACAACCATCTTCAGGTGCAGAAATAAGCTCCAAGAAGGAACTTGCCTATGGTCACACAGTGAGGCAGTTGGAAAGCCAGGATGAGCTTGCTCTCACCAGCCCTTCCTGCTGCATCTGGTTGGCATGCAATGTAGTCAGTGTGGAAGAGGACCCTAGGGTCCCTGGGGCAACCAGGGAAGCTGGCCCATAGGATGGGCTGTACCAGGCTTGTCAAATGAATAATCAAGTGCATGACATTAGGGGAGTATTCAGAAAAAAAAATGTTTACTACTTTCCTTCTTCGGGAGAAGTGGAAGTAGATATGCCAGAAATGTGAGATAAGGAGTTGTGATTATTCTAATCAATTATCCTGATCAAATGAGAAAACATAGGAAAATACTTTGGTAATTTTAAAGTACTGTGTAAGTGTGTATGGTTTACTATGATTTCTGTAATCATTTCTAATTCAATTATGTTTATAGCAGAGCTGATCAAAAACAGCCCCTTCTGAATGGGAATTGGGTACAGAATAAGTACATTATTCCTATTTACATAAAGATCTCAAAAAGTTGGTTTTTAGTAGATATTTATGTTTGTGTGTGTGTGTGTGTGTGTGTGTGTTAGACACAGAGGACATTCCAGAAGGATGAACACCACACTTATAAGAACAGTTACTTACAAAGAAGATCCTTCTCTTTTAAAAATAATGAAAACAGGGGGTTTGGGTATCTAGAGTACTTGTCTAGCATATTACAGGGCCCTGGATTTAATCCCCAGCTTTGCCAAAAAATGAAAAAGAAAAACCAGCAAGATGATAGGTCTTCGTTTGTTATACTAAAAATAGCACTTTAACTTTTATTTTATTTTATTTATTCATTATTTTTGAGACAGGGTCTCACCAGGCTGGTGTGGAACTCCTGGGTTCAAGTTATTCTTCTACCTCAGTCTCCCCCATAAACTTGGGATTACAGGCATGCATCACTAGCCCAGCTCAATAATTGCTTTTTGAAAAAGAAAAAGAAAAGAAATCAAATCAGTAAAGGTATTCTCCCAGACAATGGGAAGACACGGGGACAGTGCAAGGCCACCTCTCCTCTCTGAAGATTATATAAGACTATACCACAGAATCTACTGTATTTTTAAATAAAGCATTGAAAGTGGGCATTTTCAGTTTTAATGATGAAATATCCAAGAAGTTTACAGAAAGTATTAATACAATAAAGTAAGGCTCTGTAACAGTGACTTGAATTCAAATTTTGTGTCCTTAACAGAATGCTTTCATAATATGTCATAGTTCTTCAAAACAAAACAGAAGCAAACTTATTGCCATCCACACCAACAGGTGGAAACAAGTCACCTCATTTGAACTTAATTTATTCAGCCTTTTAACAAATACCACATAGCCATTTTCCTCAAGGGAAAATAAAATGACACTGCATTTCAAAGGTGCTTAAAAACTTCTTTCTCCTAAAGCTAATCTGCATGTCACCATTCTCCAGACTACATTGAAAATCCCCTACAGGAAAGTGCTGATAACATTGTGCATGTTTATAAACCGCTATTGGGCTTAGGACTGCTGGTTAAAGTCTGAACTCTTGGGTTGAGTTTAAAGAAAAGGATTGAGGGCCTTGACTTCTGGGACCTCCCACAGAATGAATGTGATTGGTTTTAACTCCATGTTCTATGGCACACCACATAGTTAATTCTGATTAAAAGCCAGCCTGGATCTTCAGAGATAAATGGATAGAGACAGTGACTCTTTATACCTTCAGAGGGTATTGTGAAGAGCTGTATCTCCTGGCTGCCTTACATCCTTATTCCCCCTAAGTAAGCTTTAGCCTCCTCTTCAGGAGTGCTAACTGCCTCAGCCCTACAGAGGCCATATGAGAAATTCCTGAGCACATATGTATGATGAAACATAGAAATGTGTATGGAAAAAAAATTAAGAAACTTAATATTATCTATGTTAGACACTCCTCAAAGTATAAATTGGTGGTATCTCCTGGGCCTCATTGATAGTAAACATTTTTCCTTTAAGACATCACTAAAGGTAAATACTTGATGTGGGGATTGCCACACACAGTTATCAGCTACTGGTCTATCCCATCCAGCCGCAGACCCAAGGTCAGCCTCTGAAAACACAAAAGCAAATACAGGCATGAACCCCACTTCTAGTCCTCTATTTCTGAACCAGGACCACTTCCTTCCTGCCAGGCAGAATCTGTTGACTACTTCCCCTCAGGCAGAGACCTTAGCTCACAGCACTTAGGAGATCATGGTTATAATTGAAATTTAATGCAGATCTTATGGACTAGGTTGATTTTATTTTAATTTTTATCCTACCCATTGGAGCTGTAGGATGGGACCATTGTTTGATTTTTCTTTCTTTCTTCTACCTACCTCCCCACTTTTTTTCCTTCTTTCTTCCTGCCTAGAATTATTTATTTTCTCAAACCAGATCAAATCTAAGCTGCAGAAGAAATCATATGCAAGCTCAGTATTTACCACCCCACCCCCAGCCCTTCACCCTGGTATCAAGGGAGTCCCTGGAATCACAGAGTCCAGGCCAAACTGCTACAGTCACTAGCAGTTCTCCCTCAGCACCAGAGCTCAGTTGCTTCTGTGCTTCACTAGTGATGCAGTGGCCAAAGGCAAGGCTGGGAGATGATATCTAGACTACAGAAGTCCTCCTGTTAGAAAGATGATGCAGTTCACATTAGTAACCTCACATTTCCTGGTAGCCATACTTAAAAAAAAAAAAAAAGAATGAAATAAATTTTAATAATGTTTTATTTAACCCAATATATCCAAAAATATCATCAGTTGAAATCAATTTAAAAATTTTTGTTTTTTTTTTTTTTTTTTTTTTTTTTTTTTTGCTAAGTCTGACATTTAGTGCTTAGACATGTCTCAAATGGACTAGCCCCATTCAGTAGCACTTGAATAGACAAAACATGCTATGCTGGAAACCCTTAACATCTCTTTCGGATGCATCTGAGAAGTAGGATGTTACCACCTCTCACATGCACCTCTGACTTTTTCCCCTTCCAGAATGAAAACTCTTGTTGGGGATATAGCTCAGTTGCTAGAGTATTTGCCTTGCATGCACAAGTCCCTGGGTTTGATACCCAGCACCAAAAACAGAATGAAAACTCTAACCCCCTTTCCTACTACTACCCTCTTCCTCTGATTTCCTTTTGGATCCATTGATGAGGACAACCAAACTTCAAACCCAGAATAATTCTTAACCATTTCACTCAATTTTTCTGTCTCCTGTGGTTAGCTTGCATTTTTTTTGTCGTGGTTTTTTTGTGGGGGGGGTGGGGGGGGTGGAGGGTTAATACTTCAGCTTTTTTTTAAGATTGTTTTGATGACTTATTTTTTTAATCACTAAAACAGAGAAATATGTTTTATTATGAAGAACACCATCTCAGGTCTAGGGTTATGATTGTATTTTTGTTGTTTAGCAGAACGCTCTTTGATTCATTGTACACAAATGGAGCACAGTTTTTCACTTCTCTGGTTGTACATGAAGTAGAGTCATACCATTTGTGCAATCATATATGTACCTAGGGTAATGATGTCCATCTCATTCCACCATCTTTCCTACCTCCTCCCCTCTCTCCTTCCTCTTTACCCAATTGAAAGTTCCTCCACTCATCCCATGCCCCACCTCCATTTATGGATTAGCATCCATTTATCAGAGAAAACATTCGGCCTTTGGTTTTTTGGGATTTGCTTACTTTGCTTAGCATGATATTCTCCAACTCCATCCATTTACCTGCAAAGTCATAATTTTGTTCTCTTTTAATGCTAAGTAATATTCCATTGTGTATAGGTGCCACAGTTTCTTTATCCATTCATCTATTGAAGGTTGATTCCACAGTTTAGTTATTGTGAATTATGGTGCTATAAACATTGATGTGGCTGCATCACTGTAGTATGCTGTTTTTAAGTCTTTGGGGTATAAACTGAGGAGTGGGTTAGCTGGATCAAATGGTGGTTCCCATTCCAAGTTTTCCATACTGCTTTCCAGAATGGTTGTACCAATTTGCAATTCCACCAGCAATGTATCAGTGTGCCTTTTCCCCCACACCTTTGCCAATACTTATTGTTGCTTGTATTCTTGATAACTGCTATTCTAACTGGAGCGAGATGAAATCTTGATTAGTTTTGATTTGCATTTTTTTCTAATTACTAGAGATGAAAGTGATGAAAATAAATAACCAAAAGGAACCACTGTTTGCTGTCCTATCCTAGGCTTCTTTGCTTCCTTCTGGTTCTTGTATATTGATAATAATCTTTGAATTATCTTGGAATCCTCAAAGATTTAGAATACCTGTACTTTGTGCAGTCTTACTCAAGTCATTGGCATGGGGACATTTTGGAGAAAGCCATGTGATTGTCTCCTGATAGTCTGTGGATTTTAGGAAGCAGCATCTTGCATTATTTGGCCTGAAGTTTCCCCCAAAAGCCACGTTCTGTATGGGGGCTGTTTTCCATGCCTGTTTCCATCCTGGTTTCTTCTCTAGTGTACATTCCTGATGAGTGGGAGGTCGCTCGAGAGAAAATCACCATGAGCCGGGAGCTGGGGCAGGGGTCCTTCGGGATGGTCTACGAAGGAGTTGCCAAGGGTGTGGTTAAAGATGAACCTGAAACCAGGGTGGCTATCAAGACAGTGAACGAGGCTGCCAGCATGCGTGAAAGGATTGAGTTTCTGAACGAGGCTTCAGTGATGAAGGAGTTCAATTGTCACCATGTGGTAAGAGAAGTTCCCTGAAAAGCCAAGGTCTGACAGAGGAAAAAAGCATCCCCAGAGAGCCCCAGTGTGTCTGTGGTGACACCTGTGGGTTTGGTGTCCCGCCCTCTACCTTCTAGTTATGTTACCCCATTGCCTCACCTGCAGAGCTTGGTTGGTAGATGTCCTGGTCCTCCCTGCTCCTGGCCACCAGGTCCCAGAAACACACAGATAATTTCAAGTAGCGTGAGTAATTGTGTGGACAACTCTTCCCCGACTGAGCTTTTCTCTTTTTGATTCCTCACAGGTGCGGTTGCTGGGCGTAGTGTCCCAGGGCCAGCCAACGCTGGTCATCATGGAACTGATGACACGGGGGGATCTCAAAAGTTATCTCAGATCTCTGAGGCCAGAAATAGAGGTCAGTTTTGTTTTTCACCAACCTCACATGTTATCTCACCTGTAGAAAAATGTTTTGTCCTTAAATCAGTTTACTTTTTAATCAGCCTCAAGTGTTTCTTGCTACAACCTTGGTTACAGTCCTTATGTAAAGGATTTCCCAACTACAGTCAGTCCTTGACTTTTGTGAGAAGGACTTGTCTGTCCTTTCTCAGATCACTGTCCACGTAAGCAGCTTTGTGCCTTTGTGACTGCATTTCCTCATATCCATCCATCAGGCCATGTTGGTGCTGCCCCCCTCTCTCGTAACCTTGCCTGCCAGCCTGCCCTGCTGCCAGGAGTCATCTCCTCCTCCACTAACTTCCCCGTGCACTTGACTCATCTCCTAGCACAAATTGCCTCTTGTGGTTCTATGAGTATATCCCTTCTTTACCCATCGACTTCAGTTTTTTCATTGAGCATGTAACTCAGGTCTCATTTGTGGCAGGCATTCTTTCCATAAATGCTTGTTGAAGTTCAGTGTTAGGCTGGATGGATTTTTGCCCTTATCTTTGGGAAGTTGCTAGGGTGATTTCCCACCCAGTTCTGTACACAAGACATCTGCTTACTCGCAAGCCCACCACACATGCACACACACACACACACACACACACATACACAGCCCTTTCTCAAACTTTGCATCTACATTTCAGGCTTGATCCTGTGTCTTGCTTGCACTTTTGATATGATAATCATATCAGCTGCACAATGGCTGTTTAGTGTAATAAAAATTTCAACATGCTAGAGTCCTATGTGTTAGTCATTGTGGTGTCTCCCCTTCTGTCCAATTAGCCCATGAGCTGTTTTGTTTTTTTTTTTTTTTTTTTTTTTTTTTTAACATATGGAGACCTGACTTGCATGTTATGAATTTTAAGAGTTAGCTGGTAGATAAACACTGGGAAATAATCCCAGGAACACCTTTCTTTCATTGCGATGCCTCAGTGGGTTTCAGGTCCTCACTTTGACCCTGACCTTTGCTACTTATGAGTTAAGCATGATACCTGCCTGCATTCCCTGGAAACAGTAAGTCCCACCCACTTTTTTTTAACCCCTTTTGCATTTCTGTTGCCACTCTGTTTTTGTTTTCTTCTTTTAATCCGCAACCTGATCATCTCCCAAATGATAGTTCCTTCATATTAGTTCCAAGCACCTATTTACAAATGACCTCATTTATTTACAGCACATGGTATTTGGGGTGTTTTGAGAGCTACCACCTGAGTATGGCCTAAGGCTCTGAGCAGGGTGGTTGATGCCTCTCCCAGCCTCTGTCCCTCCCAGCCTCTGTCCCCAGCACCCCTGCATGGCAGTGCCTTTTCCTGGCTCACTTAAATCCATAAGCCCACATGCAGAAAACAAGCCTGATCAAGTAGGTGACTGGAGATGTGGCAGAATATTCATTATTTGCCTTCATTACTGGAGGTATGGTGGGATATCCACTACTTGCCTCATTCCAGGCACTCGTCCTCCTTCTTCCCAGTTCAGGCAGAGAATAAAAATTTATAACATGGGTTTTGGTGCTTGCTCCGCCAGTGGTTACTACCTCTGGTCCTCAAACAGCTACTACAGGTTTCTGGGCCTCAGTTTCCTCATGTGTAAAGTAAGAGGGTTGGGAAGTGGTTACTGAAGTCCTTTTCAGATCTAAAATTCACCTTTAGATTTGTCAGATTTAAGTTTTGTCTAACTTATGTGAAGTATAAAAGTGAGTATTCATATCCTGCAGCTACATTATATTCTACTTGCCCTCACCCACAGCCAGTTCAGAATTGCTTTTTTATACTGCTAAGTATAGGTGCATGTATGCTTGTCTTCAGTAGCTCTCACCAAATTAAAGATTTGTGCTCTCTTAAGAAATATGAAATAATGGTAACACCATGAACTGACAAAATGTCAACCCTTTCTCCCAGTGCTTAAAATTAAGTTCCTTGTGTTGATTATTTCATATTATGAGTGACAACTTCATAGTAAACATCTGTACTTCATACATACTCCAATAACTTAACTGTTATGAGTCTTACTTTGCATTTCACCTGCACACTTCCTGATTTACATGTTTAAAGCTCTGAAAAGGTTAAAAGGAAATGTTAGGTTCTAAGTGGCGAGAGCATATCTAAAGAAGACTCCTGTGTAAAAGGAGGAGATGATGTTGGCTTCCCTCAGTGACATGATGTCACTTCTCCAGATAACTGAGAGATGAGTATTTTGAGTCACCAGAGACCATCTTGATAGCCTCTTCAGAACCCATATATGTCCTGGAATGTGGAGAACCAACCTAGAAGTGCTGGAAGGGTTGTTAACTGCTTCTAGATACTGGCTTTCAGTGGAAACAGTCCCTCACTGGGCAAGAGCCAACACCCTCTAAGCCTTGGTCATGGGCCAGTTGATCATCCCAACATCGGACTATGGTGGAGACCATGTGGAAGAGCCCAAGCAGGAGTCCAGGTAGTTGGATACCAGAGCCCTGGAAATTTCCCATGGCCCTTGGGGCCTGAGCTAAGAAGGCAATGTGTAGAACCTGTCAGCAAAAATGCCTTTGCAATAGGGAAAACAAGGTAAAATTTGTCTCACTAGAACCCACAAAAGCTAGTTAACATTTAAACTATTGCATTATGATAAGTTTTTGCACTTTTTTTTTTTTAGGATAGAGAGCTTGGGACATGTATTATATGACTCTTTTTTCCAAATGGATTTATTACCATTTGAGGGTAATTCTTTTCAATTCTAAAGTGAATGTTTTGCCCTCTCTACAAAGAGGGGATGCTTATTCATATTGCTGGTCACTGTTTTATAATCTCCATGATAGCTTCAGCTGGACTTCATTTGTTCGTAATGCCCACAGAAAATAGTAGTACAAAGTGAAGAAATAAATCTTCATATCTGTGTGCCTTAGAAGTAAGTGGAAAGTAAAGGAGTTAGACAATTCCTGACAGTGCTTATGTGGAAAACAAAACACGCAGAGTTCATATGGGAAGCACATTTCGTGTTTCTGTGTGGCCTTTGTGATGTGCTCTATTTCTGTTCACCTGTGCTTTGATTATGGAAATCAAAGGAACATTTAAACAAATAGGAATCTGAGTAACCAAAAATCCTTAATATCAAAAGTTGCCTTAACCAAAACAGAAAATGTTGGTCCCAAGGAGTGTTAATTGGTATCTTCCTTAACAGCCCTGTGTGATGTAATCAAGGAGCAAGGACATGACTTCACCACCAAGCAGATGTCATGGTCTCCATAACACATTCCTTATAAGCACATCCTGATTTCTTTGCAGAATGACCTATTATGTTCAGATTGGACAAGGATGGATTTACATACCCTAAAGAAACTTGAGGTAGAAAAAATTCCTAAATTCTCAAGTGATTTTTTTTTTTTAATCTCTAACAGAATAACCCAGTCCTTGCACCTCCAAGCCTAAGCAAGATGATCCAGATGGCTGGAGAGATTGCAGATGGTATGGCATATCTCAATGCTAACAAGTTTGTCCACAGAGACCTTGCTGCCCGAAATTGCATGGTGGCCGAAGATTTCACAGTCAAAATTGGAGGTATGTTCTTTGCTCTCCAGATCTAAGCAAGAACAAAATCTCAGTGTTTTAAGGGCCTTGTGGGCATTAGCCTATCTATGGAGAGGTTTTCCAGCTCATCCCCTGAGTGCAAAAACAATCAGTATGATTGTCTTCAGTTGCTAGTTAGTTGCAAACCTACCCAGGCTGGCTCTAATCCTGAGAGCATGTGGACATGGTGGTCCAGGTAGCTGACATGGTCCCCGAGGTTCCACTCCTCCTAAAATTTTAGGGAAAATACTTCTCAACGTTAACTACAAAAATAATCAAGACAGTGTCCACAGGTGATCTCAGCTGGAGAAAAATCATCATCCAATCTTCCTGCAGTTTCCCTGACTTATAAGGGAAACTTCCTTCTCCCACAGAGTTTTCTAAGAGGTAAAGTGCCTCCACAATGAAGCCCCTGCAACAGAGCAGGAATGGTGGCAGGGACAGTTACGGCAGTCCCTCAGTTGAGGAAGATCATGGCTTAATGGGTTTCATATCTGAGGTCCATCAGCCTTCATGCTGTTGACCCTGCTGTTAGGACAGTTATTGTTGTGATCTGGGCTTACCACACTACCAAGTAGACTCCGTGTTTCCACCGCTCACTGCTGTAACAACAAAAAAAGTATTGGATTGATTCTCTGAAAGGCTGAAACTGTTTTCAGCCTTTTAGTTTGTTTTTGCTCTGGTCTTTCAATCTCCCTAACAAAAACATATAGTGTTTCTCAGGAAACCACCTGCTTTTACCATGACCTTCATCTTCCCACTATGATAGGATGATAGTTCATTTAAAAAAAAAAAAAAAAAGAAAGAAAGAAATATTTATACTCAGAATCTGCAGAGAAGACTTAACATGCAAAGACAACTACTTACAGTTTAACCTCTTTGTCTAGCTCTCAAACCTTGTGCTCTTAAGTGTTTGCCCACATTTAGCAATACTTTTTTTTTTTTTCCTTTAGCAATGATTTTTCAAATGAAATGTTTTGGTCCCTAGTGAGTGGTTTCCAAAGCAGAGGTGAATGTCTTTATTTGGCATTTATTTACAGTATCTGGAGATGCTAGAATATAACCACATCATAGATCAGATATCATTTAGTCATTGGAGTTACACATCCAGGATCCCCCAGTGTGTCCCTAGACCTGGCCCCTTGAGGAATCCTCACATTTGGTGCCCCATGAAGCCCAGCTTGGCTGTGCAGCCCTTCAGGAGGAAGAAGGGGCCCAAGAGGCAGTCCTCCTTCCCCAACCCACTCACTTGAGGGACTTAGAATGTATCTTCTGCCCAGTGTGCAGTGAGGCACCCAGTGAGGCTGAGGAGCAGATTCCTTCAGTCCTATGAGCCTGGTTTTTCTTTTTAGAATAAAAAAATTTTAGCTGTATTTGGGAAGAGAATTTTTTTCTGGGATTTTATTCTTTTCCCTTTTTTTAAAATTTATTTGTTCTACTCAGTTATACATGACAGCAGAATGCTCTTTGATTCATTGTATACAAATGGAGCACAATTTTTTTACTTCTCTAGTTGTACCCAAAGTAGAGTCACACCATTCATGCAATCATAGATATGCCTAGAGTAATGATGTCCTTCTCATTCCACCATCTTTCCTACCCCCATGCCCCCTACTTCTTTTCCAGTTTTTGACAGCAAAAGCAAATGCTCTTATTTGCATGTCACTGGATTAATTCAGAGATAAGACTTCATTTGTATACTTCACAAGGTTTCATAAATGTTTTCCCAGTGCCCACTGTCTCATGGATTACAAGCATGACAAATAATTTCACTGAAGCCAACCTGATGGTCCTTAGCATGCAAGTAAATTATGTTGGTTAATGTCCAAGAAACGTTGTTCTCCTTGTGTTTTTGCTTTATAGCTTTACCTCTTTATGGCACAAGTTAGAGACATAATGGACATTTTTTAAAATCAGTGAAACCCTTTCTCAGAGAAAGGAAGAGTCCATGTTAGAAAAGGTTGTATGATTGAGTAGAAAATCAAAATCCAACAAAAGAAGCAATAATTCAGGATTATAAAGCAAACCTGCCATCAAACGTAATTCTGTGACATCTTCTAGAGACATAGAAAATGCAAGAATTTTTAAATATCATCTCTACAGCACCTTATTGTACATTTTTTTAAATATTTATTTTTTAGTTTTAGGTGGACACAATATCTTTATTTTATTTTTATGTGGTGCTGAGAATTGGACCCTGTGCCTTACGCATGCTAGGCGAGCACACTACCATTTGAGCCACATCCCCAGCCCTTATTGTACATTTTTGTACTGTGAATTGTTACAGGAAATATTGTCCCCTTTTTTAAGTAATGAAGTTCCTTGCTTTTCCCTGGCCATAGGCCTTGCTATCAAGTAAATGAGAGGCTACACTCTCTTGTTTCTTTGATCAGGTTTTAGAATTATATATCACTGATCCTTAGTTTATGCAATACATATTTTCTTGATAAATCTTGGGACTGAATAATTTGTCAATGGTCTCTCATTTTAAATGCAGCAAGGGAATTAAATTCTTAAAGGAACCAGAGTATAAATGTATTTAAAAGCAGAGATTTCTTGATATTTTCTTGTTATGTGATTAATCACCCTTTACTATTCCTTCCTTATGAAATTGCAAGCCTTTATATTAGTCCATCTCAAAGTGGAGTAAGTCTGTATGTACCTTGAACACAGAAGGGGTGAAGGGCCCTGTGCTTTGACAGTGACCATATACTTGCTTCTACCTTAAGAGCTGCTCCTGCAGCATAACTGTGTGCTTTCTCTGCACCTTCCAGATTTTGGTATGACAAGAGATATCTATGAGACAGACTATTACCGGAAAGGAGGGAAAGGGTTGCTGCCTGTGCGCTGGATGTCTCCTGAGTCCCTCAAGGATGGAGTCTTCACCACTCATTCAGACGTCTGGTATGAGAGCCTTTTTCTGCAAGGCCAGCCCAAGGCATCCAGCCTTCGCACGTGCCACCAGTCAGGCTCAAGGGTTTTATTTTCCTCCTGATCTCTGCTCATTGCTATCCATTTCCAGCTTTAGCTCAGTGTTTTATGGACTAAAGCTGAAAAATGACTTTAAAGCTGGAAGTGTGGGCTTTGAAGTGGTCCTGTTATTAGTGGGCTAGCTAAGGATAGAAGGGCATTTGTGGGACCAACTTTTTTTTAGTCTTTAGCAGATGTTGATTGTGTTTTCTGGGAGCTGGGACATGCCAAAAGGTTTCACATCTCTTTGTTTCTCCCTTTGCCTACGACAGTAGATGGTGTGCCTGTGTGTGATGCATTTGCATACGTGTGTGCCTGTGTCACCTAATTCAACCTTCAGATTGCAGAGAACACTTTATTTGGACCCAAAGCTTATGTTTCTTGATGTGTTGATCTCCATCTGCTGTCTGTCTTCTCCCAATGGGTGTTCATGGCTTTGTCCCCATAGATGGTTATAGAAAGCAAAATACCTCCCTTAGTTATAAAAATGTATTATGGTGGAAGATCATCAGCTAAGGGATGCAAAGACTTTCCTGTAGTACTCTTTATTGTATTCCCTGGACACATTGTATAAAGGCAGTCAGGTTCTGAAATAAAACTGAGATTCTTGGCAGACAAAAGCCCTGGCATATCAATCCACTTTCTCAAATGTCAGTGAGTGTCTTGGCTTTCCTCTTGGGAGATCCCATTGCTGTTGTATACAGAAATGGTAGTTGTTTACTCCAACTGTCCGGATGACTGCATAAGGGAACTATTTCAATAGTGACTGACATCATTTTTTAACCTCATGAACTTTTCCTTCACAGTCAAGGGCCTTAGATCTTATTTTGAAGACAGGTACAAATTGAAAATAGCATTTGAATATGACCCAGCCAAGCCTGATTGTTTCTTGAGCTAAAGGATTAGATCTGTTCTACAGTCAGCTTACCCAAGATGGTTACCTCTTTTCTGTTAAATCAAAGTGTTAGAAATTTGAGGTGTCAGAAGAGGGCATACCTGGGTGCACACATGCATCTGTTTGTCTAAGCTTTTTGCTTCCAGAAGCTTTGAGGTCAATTTATAGGGTAGGAAACAGAAGCAGGGTAGGAAGATAAAGCTAGAGTTGTTAATACTTCACAGGCTCACTCTCACCAAATTCAGTTACCAACTGTCACTTCAGAGACCAACAAAGGTCTGAGACTACATAGCCATTATGAACAAGTAAGAAAAGATATCCATAAAGGACAGTAGGCATTTGGAATTTATTCCCTTAAATAGCCAGGCATTGGAAGTGCTTTGGGCTTTTGGGCATTTATCCAGGCCTTTGAGGATAACACATTGGGGAAGGCCAGGGTGCTTCTTGGGCTCTATCCTGAAGCTGTCCCCTCTCTAAAGAATGGAAATAATTTTACATGATGTTCAGTAGCACAAAACAATCATTCCTAAATAGTTAAGGACTAGGAAATATGAAGAATTTTGTCTGGGTTTTGTAGACGAAAACTCAGAATCCTAAGGTTGGGAGACACCCCAGAGGTCAGTGTCCTGAATCCCCTTACTGTATCCTTCACAGCTGGCATTTGAGCTTCTTCAGAGATGCTTCCAGGGGCTATGTGTTCACTCCCTCAGCCTGACCAGCTGGACTTTTCAAATGTCTATATTTTTCTCACACCCTTCTTACAGTCGGCCTCTCTGGGACACCGTTTTTGCCCTTCTGTCTGCAGCATAGTCACACATACTGCTCTGTTCTTGGTCAGGCTGTGGAGTCATCCAAGACTTGTCTCTGTCCTCTAGTTTAATACCCTGGGGTCCTGCTGTATCCTAGGTTTATTCCTTGGGTCCTTGGGCCTTTGGGAACTGTGGCTGCTCCTTTTGCAGTTCCTTCATCCTTCTCAAATGGCCCATGTGGATTAAAGAGCATGGTGTGCCCCTAGATAAGTGGAAAACCAGGCAGAGGGGGCTGGGATTGTGGTTCAGCAGTAGAGTGCTCACCTAGTATGTATGAGGCACTGGGTTTGATCCCCAGCACCACATAAAAATAGATAAATAAAATAAAGATATTGTGTACAACTGCAACTAAAAAAAAGGGTAAATATTAAAGGAAGGAAGAAAACTAGGCAGAGGATGGGGAGTGGGACTTGACAGCATATTGTTGCTCCCTTCCTGTGCACCACCCCACACACAGTCTTCATTTCTTGACTTGTTAAGCAATTTTCCAGAGAGGCACAAATTCCAAGGTTATTTGCTTCTTTGGTGACTAATTCCGAACAATGGGGAATATGGATTTCTTTGTAGGTGTCAATTTGCTGGTGGCTAGAACAGATACGCACTAACCTCTTTCCCCACCAAGTAAGATGATACCATGGGGTCTGTGTACTTGGAGGAAACACCCCAGTGTTCATGCTTAAAGAAGACTTTACAAAGAGGCATTTGTCTAATGTTTAAAGATTAAATCTGTCCACAAAATACTTGCTTTTGGGTGAAGGCATTAGTAGGTAAGTTCATGCAGTGAAATGCCTTCTTTGAAAAACATACAGGTGATGCATATTTCTCAGTGCCTCTGCCTGACTACGTGGCCTTGGTCAAGTCACCAGGCTTCTCTGGGCTCTACTGGCTTGTCAGTTAGGTGAAGAATGTCTAGGGATGCCTGTGCTCTCTGCTCCTTCTGTGGTACTTAGATAGATGTTTAAATGGCTGTTATGACAACTGGTGTTAGGTAGAAATGACACAGCCCCTGAACCCCGGAGCAGAAAAAGAATGGAATGTAGTTTTGTATTGAACTGTGAAGGACAACTACAGACTGGAGCACTTAGTGTCACAAGGACAGATGAAACTGACATCAGACAAGAGTCATTCAGGAAAAAAAAAAATTTGTAGTTCAATATAATAAGAATTAGTGGTGAACTGTGTCTATTGCTTCCTGTTTTATTTCATATGTGTGATTGTGACGTTATCAGTTTGTGGAAGAAGCACATACAACAAAAGAAGCCATCCCTGTCCTCAAGGGATTAAGTCTTATAGAGAAGAGAAAGTGACCTGGCAGGTTGGGGTCAAGGAAACCTTCATAGACGAGATGAAGTTGTAGGACCACCCCACTGCCACCAATGAAGCAATGGGGAAAGGGGTTCCTGGCAGGGAATGCTGGGGGAGAATGGGGAATAGTAGTACTTTCTTGAGGAAATCAGGTTATTTACATGGTTACTGTGTTAGGGATTTGGGATCTATTCTGCAGGCTCTGAAAATTAAGGTTTCTGAATAGGAGAGTGACCTAGAGCTGTGTTACAAGAAAGAAGTTCACATTAGCTGGAATGGAAGGGTGCAATAGGCTGGGCAAGGAAGACCCCCTGCACAAAGGAAGCACTGGGGGTGGAGAAGGAGGAACCACATACGGCTTGAACAAACCTGGGTCTTAACTGCCAAGTCATGAGACCTCAAAGAGGCTAGGGTGACCACAGGTGTACCACTCCAGTGGAATGGGACATTGGCTGTAGGGAGGCTGAGAGAAGAACAGGAAGCCTGACAGTTCAGCTTGAGACACACTGAGTTTGTGGAGGAGCTTGGAGTAGAGCTATGGGGCTCCAAGGGCCTGGGTGGAGCCATCCAGTTAGAACTGGCTGCCTGAAAACTGGTGACCTGGCCAGGAAAAGTGGTGGGGCTAGAGAAGTGGGGTTGGCAGAAGCCATGTCCTCAGATCATTTCTCATACCAGCCGGTAGTAGGCAAAAATAGAAAGCTCATCACTTTTGCTGGGTGGCATTGCAGCCTCTGAGCGTATGCTGCTTCTGTGACAGGCAGGTTTGGGAAAGCAGAGCTTCCCCACTATTGAGTTGATGGAAAACTCGATTCCTTTGCCCAGTTCTTTTAAAAGCCATGCTTTGGTTTTTATGGGTCTCTTTGTACTTCTGAAGACTATTTCTTGGTTACCTGCAGTTAGAAAGGACCATGGGTGGGTCAGTCCTCTGATTGCTAAGGTTCTGTTTCTAATGTGCTTTTTATATCAATTTATACAAAAACTTTTTGTTCATGGGAAAGAACTGAAGCAGTGAATAAAACATTCTGATACAGTCAATCCCCCAAGCTTCTTAGAGCTCTGGGTGGGAAATACCTTGCCACAGGTTTTTCCGTGAGGCTTGGCTAGTACCCTGTGCCAGGTTCCACGAGAAGCCTCATAGGCAACTTGCTCACAGGCAGTCTGACTTATTCCACTGATGTGACCCTGGCATAGTGCAAATAGGTCAGGAAGAATTTGTGAATGTGGGCATTTACCCTGGGAAGCTACATTGATTTTGCAGATTACAGCATTGCTTTCTTGAACATTATCTATCTGAAATTTCTACATAAATGCCTGTTTTAATTTGAACTTCTGAACTGATAGGCAAATCTGCAGGAATGGTAGAACTGCTCACCTCTTTGCCTACCAAGTTCATTGTTCAGTGAGCCTCTGTGGAAGGAGATTCTTATTGTTGTGTCACTCACTACTCATGGGCCAATGCAGCCCACCCGAGACCCCTACCTGTGGGGCAAGGCCTCTGAGCCAGCAGCTCCTGGGCTCTTTGCAAGTTCAAGGGTTCTCTTCTCTCTCCTGAGTCAAATCATGATCCCTGTAGAGCTTTTAAACATTCCAAGGCCCAGGGCCCCCGACCAATCAAATAAAAGCTCTTACTGGGAGCCCAGGCATCAGTCTATTTAAAACACTCCCAGGAGGTTCTCTTGTGTAGCAGTGTTCAGAAATTCTGGGATAAAGATTTCTAAGCTGATCATAAGAATCTCCGGAGGAGCTTGTTAAGATTTATTATCCCAAGTCAGTGACTGGCTAGAACCTGGAGGTCTGCATTTTTTTTTATTATTATTATTATTCTTAGAATAAAACAAATTTGGAAAGTACCTCCCTGTGGGGGTAAATGGCTGGAACTAAGCACTGAGGGCTGTGATCTAAATCAGGAACTTCTGCACCATGTAGGGATTGCTGAAAGCTCCCCCAGCATCAGTTGCCTCAGCTCTGCCATGAGGGCTAAAGTTGCAGGGAACATCAGTGGTGATGGGGGAAGGCAGATGTCCCACATTCAGCGAAGTGCCTGGCTCACTGCCAAGCAGTCACCTCCAGGAGGACAGTTTTTCAGTGCCCTAAGGTTGAGGAAATATTGGAAAAGGGGGGCAGAATGGTCCTGCCCGTCATTCTCCAAGCTGCTCATGTATCTTTTCTCCCTGTAGGTCCTTCGGGGTTGTCCTCTGGGAGATCGCCACACTGGCCGAGCAGCCGTACCAGGGCTTGTCCAACGAGCAAGTCCTTCGCTTCGTCATGGAAGGTGGCCTTCTAGACAAGCCGGACAACTGCCCCGACATGCTGTATGTATTTTCTGAGCCCCCTCAGCTCCCTTTTGATTTATTTCCTCAAATAACTGTTTTCCTGAGTCATGTAAGATTAAAAATTACAGGAGCCAGAAATTCTTTCTGGTCCTATGGGTGTGGTGATGATACCGAGCAGATTAGAACAGCCTTATTTATCCTCTTCAGAAGATCTTACAGGTCCTATGCCTTTTGGGCTAACACCCTAATTCCTTAATTATTCAGTTCTAATTTTCAGTTTGCTCTGTTTCTGAGTCCCAATGTCTCCATAAAATATTTGACTAAAGCAATCTTTGCTCATCTTTTCCACGTAAGGATTAAAAAAAAACAAAGTCAACAACACTATACTTACTACTCCTTTCTTTTTTAAAAAAATAAATATCTGATTTTTTTAAATCTTTATTTTGTTTATGTATTTTTATGTGGTGCTGAAGATTGAACCCGTGCCTCACATGTGAGAGGCAAGCACTCTGCCACTGAGCCACAATCCCAGCCCCACAATACTTACTACTCTTAAGTCAACTTCAAGGGTTTGGCTTCTGAAAACTTTTATGTAATGGGGGTATGTGCTTCATAGGCCTCACTTCTCAATGCTTCTTGGAAATGCTCCCAACATTTGTCAACTTTCCATCACTCTAACAAATACCTCAGATAATCAACTTACAAAAAGAAAAGGATTCTTTTGGCCCACAGTTGTGGTGGTTTCAGTTGTTGATCAGTTGGCATGTTGCTTCAGGGGCTGGGACAGGCCAGCACATCATGTCAGAAGTGCATACCAAAGCAAAACTGCAAACCCCATGGCCTCGAAGCAGAAGTAAGCCAGAAGGAAATGGGGTCCTACTGTCCCCTTCAAGGACATGCCCTAATGATTTTGAAGAGCTCCCAGTAGGCCCCACTTCCCTAAAGGTTCCACTATCTTCCAGCAGCATCAAGCTGGGGACCATGCCTTCAACACATGGCCTTTGGAGAACTTTAGTATCAAACTATAACACCCACCTGGTGTTTTGTGGCTTGGTAGAGGTCCAGGCTGCTGAAGTGGGTGGAGGACTAGTTGTTCTTCCTGGAGTAAAGTTGGGGAGATATAAAGATGTTCTGTTTGGATCATCAGTTACAGGACAGGTATAGAATGGGAGCATCAGGCTAATTTTTTATGTGTACATTAAGGCCCAGGCTCAGAGATTCTTCTGTATCCCAATAGCTAGATAAGAAGTAGGTTCTACTAGTATATCAAAAATTTGGGAATTTTGTAAAAATGCTTTTCAAGACAGGTTTTGCTTTACTTGAGAAAGCACTCCAGAGGAATTGTTGGGCTGTTTTTATGTCTGCATGAAATGTCACACAGATCTTCCTACCTACCCATACACCCTCCTTCAGTAAGTAAGTAAAGTACTGACAAGGCTGGAGCCCCATAGTGGCAGGATGATGTACAGGCAGGAGTTGGACACATGTCTGTGAGCACAAGGGAATGGACCCCAGCAGCCATGAAAGCTTTCTCACATGGTCTCTCAGGTGGCCTTGGGCCAGAGATCCATGCAGGTGTGCCAGCTCCTCTGCTCAGTCTTATGAAGCTAAAATCAAAGTGTTGAACAGGTTGTGATCTCATCTAAGGCTCAGAGTCATCTTCCAGCTCCTCAGGTTGTTAGCAGGAGTTGGCTCCTCGTAGCTGTAGGACTGAAGTCCCTGTGCTCTTACCACTTGTTGACTGGGCACCATATTCAGCCCTGGAGGCCATTTGAGTCCTTGCCACATGCCACTTCCATTGGCCATCATGGGAGAGCAGCTTATTTCTTCAAGACCTACAAGACTTTTCTGCTTCTACTGTTTTTATCCTGATTAAGTCAGATCCACCCAGGATAATCACACTTTTGTGCAATTCAAAATTAAAGGAGTCAAGTGTCATGTTTACAAGACCCCCTGCCATACATACAGATGAGGGGACTCTGTTTACACCAGAGGTGGGGATCTTGAGACCATCTTAGGATCCCACAGCCTCAGAAAGGGAAGTCTTTGTCTATCAGCAAAACAAAGTCTTGTTTTTTATTTCAAAGCACTTTGATTGTTACTCCCAAAACTGCATTCCATGTACAGGAAGTGAGCTTCATTCCCCTGGCTCTAGCTGTGTGAGTGAAGCGGGGAACTCAATACAGCACCCTCTGCTTCAAGATGGTATGCAGTAAACATTATGTTCATTAGTTGCTGCTTCTGAACATCAATCCAGCAGAAACCTGTTCTGTCCCGGGGACACTTTGCATGAATTAAGAAAGAAAGCTGCAAGGAGAATGCCAAAGAATGCCCCCATGAAGGCATCCTCCTCTCATTGGCTAGTATGTGTGTGTATATGTGGTGGGAGGGTGTTCCATTTTCTCCTCTGAGCATAGGAAATCAGGGAGTGGCTTGAGCCTGGGGGCAGTCCTAGGCCTGCTGGGCCTCCCATTATCCCTTGTCAAAGAGACCTCCTAGTACAGCCTTTTCAGAACTCCACAACCCAAAGTTGGAAGAGACCTTGCCCAGCATATAATCCCACCTCTCCCCACCTATACGCAAAACCTGATAGTTGAAAACAACAATTAGTATCAATTATCTCACAGAGTTTCTGAAGATGAGGAATCTGGGAGTGGCTTAGTGGGATGGCTCTGGCTTGAAGTCTCTAGGTTCTTGCTGTCAAGAAAATGGGGTTGTGGTCCTCTGAAGGCTCACCCAGGGTGGCAGATCTTCTTCCAAGGCACCAATGTGGATGTGCACCATGTAAGGTCTCACTTTCTATGTGGACCTCCCCATAGCACCACTGGAATGTCCTCATGACACACAGATGGCTTCCCTTAGAGCAGGGCTCAGCAAACTCTCTAAAGGGCCAGATAGTCAGACAGTAAATATTTTTGGTTCTGTGGGCCCTCACAGTCTTGATTGCAACTACTCAGCTTTGCTGCTGTGTGCAGAAGCAGCCATAGAGATCATATAAATGAGCATGGCTGAGGTCCAATAAAATTTTACTTTTGGATACTAAAATTTGAATTTCATGTAACTCTGTGCTGTCACATAACATTTTTTCTTTAATTTTTTCCCCAACCATTTGTAAATGTAAAAGCCATTTGTAGTTCAGAGGCCCTACAAATTCAGGGAGACAGCAGGCCAAATTGGGCCCATAGACCTATAGATTGCCTGCTCTGCCTTGCCCTGGAGCTAGTGATCCATAAGCAAAGTGGCCTCCAGTGTCCTTTCGGACCTAATCCCAGAAGGAACACTCTACTGCTTCCAACTCCTCCAAGTTTCAGTGTGGGAGGGGATTACTCAGAGAAGCTCTGGGAGTCCTGAAAGCTGGTTTCCACCTTCTGTACATGCAGTGTCCCTTATAGGTGGCCATCTGCTGCCCACCTTGAACAGTAACTGCTGAGGTAAAATGTAAGAAAGGGAGCTATGAGCCCTGATGCCCACTGAATTTGCATAAAGGTACATAGTGCCAGAATAGATTTGAATACTAGAATGAGTGGTATTTAGCAAGCTTAGAAATAGCCCAGGAAAGCAGGTGTGAGTTTTGTTCCTGTGGTTTGGTGCTGGTTGAGGGAGAGGTATTGCTTTTGTGCTTTTTCTTAGACTTGGATAAATGTTTGTCTCTGGGAAACTTGTAGGACTCTTGAAGTTGATCCATTTCCAGATGACTGGAGTTTCACTATTAATTCAATATGCCTGGGAAGCAGCCCACCTGCCATGGGAAAGGCAGTGGACTTCCTGTTCCCAGCGTGGAGGATGAGGAAGTTTACACAGAGAGGTTACCCTTGGATAAGAAATGTTTAATTCACAAGGCATTTCTGCTTTGCCATCCAGAACCCCTTTGGCAAATTTATCTCCCTTCTAAGAAAAGAAAAGAAAAAAGGGAGGTGAGCTGGTTTCATAGGGAGTGGCTGTGTCATCCTTCTGAATTTACTGATGAGCTTAGTGAAGTTGAAGGGTTCTGGGAGAGGAGTTCTTTTGTTATAAGGATGAAAAAAAATGGACTTTGTTTATCCCAGAGGAGAGCAGAGTCCTAAGCCCTTGGGAGTTGCCTAAAACCTACTGGGTCTCAAGTGGGAGAGGAAACCTTTCACCATTGTGGTTCTGCTGTTGGAACAGGTACTCCCTAGCCATGTCATAGCCCCTAGGGGACTCAACTCAGTATCAGGAAGACCCTTCAGCAGTTTAGTGATGCCTATACATAAAGTCAGTTGCCTCAGGAGTAGCCAAGCCCTCATTCCTCAGTATTACATAGTCTTCTAGCCTTAGAGGAAAGATTGCAGTCTGAGCCCCAGGGTATTCAAGTCTCAGCATCATAACTCAGTTTGAATTAATTCAGCAAGTATCATGAGATCAGCTTTGGTTGTGGTTCCCTGCTGCATCCACATTTTAAAGTGATGACAAAGCCTGTCCTGAACCCTGTTTTATGCTCAGATCCCAGTACCTAGGCCACAAACATCACTGAATGTTCCAGGTACATGCTGGCTATTAAAGTCACAAAGATAAGTAAGGAGTGATCCTAGATATCATGAAATCTGGAGGCATTAAAGGCCCCAGCTCTAACACTGCAGGATAAGGGATAGAGCAGAGGGTGAACTCAGCTATAAAAACTCAGGCAAAGAAGCCACTTGTTCTGGTAGCATGTCCACAGCTCTGCACATCAGCTTTTTATTCTGCAGGATTCAGGAAAGAATTTGAACTTTTTAAACTCAAGAGAGTCATCAACTCATAGAAACACACTTGGTAGTATCTGATCATTTTTGTGATTTTCAAGGAGTTTTTCCTTTTGCTGATTAAAGTGCCCACATTGCTGGAAATCCTAGGTTGGTTTTGTGGAAATCAAGTGCATGAGTCGGCGCTACATAGGCAGGATGACTGCACCTACCCAGTTAGCCCTGGTGTGAACTTTGCCACAGCATGCAAGCCATACTTCTCTGCTGCCCAGGGTTCTCCTTGCTGACTTGTTGGAATCTGACTTGAGGTATCCACCAGGACTCATTGGCTTCAGTGTGTCCTGGATCGTGGAGCCAGGGCTCTGCCTTTGCAGGGCCTGCAGCAAGCAGGTGCTGGATTGAGATGGCATGCTTGGAATTTGCACTTTTTCTAACTGGCAGCCCTGCCACCTCCATCCTGGCTAGGAAGTGGCTCAGAACAGCCCTGGCTATTCAGGGATGCTAGGAGGAGTACATACTCAGCCCTGCAGAACCTCTCTGGAATCTAGTCTTTCTTCAGTGAAGGTCGACACTGGGCTGAGACTGAACTAACGTCCACCAGCAGGAATGCTTGGGTCATGAGATGCCCAGTGCCACTCGGCTCACTGACACTTTCCATAGATCACAGCCTGTTCAGTTCAAGATGTCAGATGCCAAGGACCAAGAGAAGGGTGGGAATATGGAAGCGTGTCTGTGTGCATACAACCCTGGCTACCACACAGACTCTTAGGGGTATAGTTCCATCCTGGGAAGCTGCTTCAAAACCAGGCAGGAGTCCCATTGCAGCCTTGTTGCTACCCCAGATGGTGCCCCATGAACTTTCAGTAGAGGACAGTACTTTTCTCATCAGAGCTTACCAGTGGTAAAAAATGTGCTTTTTAACAGAAGAGTTTTATCAGCTCATAAATCCTTCTGGAGTCTACTGGGGAGTTTTCTTGTGGAAATAGTGTAAACAAGGTCTTGAATCCCACAGAGTAAAAAAAGGCTTCCTTTTATGGGTAGCCCTGCAAGGGCTATGACTCTGGAACGATTTAAGGGAGGCATCACATGGCGTGTTTGTGCTAATGTCACTGCATCATGGCCCTGTTGGTGGCACCTCCTTGGCCCCCGCCTCAGGGCATAAAGCCAGGTACAGCTCATGTTTTCAGCCCAGGCCACACACTGCTCGGGGTTAAGCCAATCAGCCAGGCAGGAAATCACAGCCCAGACACAAAAATTGTTCCATATATTTGTGGCCCATTTCAATTAACTAATTAATTTTGATCTTTTTTCTTAGAAAGACATGTCGATATAGGAAGACAGTTCTGTTTACTGTCTGACCAGAGGGGGAGACAATACACTAGCTGCTGGTTTATCAGTGCAAATCAAACCCTTCCAGGACATCGACTATCCAGTAGACAGCCAAGACAGGGTGTTCTCCTAGCAGGACCATAATCCCTTTGGCTGAGGCAACCAAAGTATAACCATACTGTTTTACAGAGAGCCCCATCCCTACTTTGCCTTTGCTAGTTTTGTGATTGTCATTTGTGAAATGAGGATGCATTATAATAAAAAGCCCCTCCTTCACAGACCTGGGAGGACCAAGGCAATTCCCACACATGAAGCTCCCGTTGCCTGGTACTGTGTGTACTGTCACCTGCAGTCACTCAGCACTAACACCTACCCTTATGGTTAGTGCCACACCCAGGTTTACTTGGGAGGGAAGATAATTAGCCTTCCTCTTTTGTCTAATTCCTTTTCCTCCAGAGCAGGTTTTAGTCACATTTTTCTACAGAGGAACCATAAATATTTTAGGCTTATAGGCTAAACAGCCTCCTTTTTAACTCCCCAACCAACAGTTGGAACTTCAAAGCCACGGAGGATATGTAAACAAGTGGATTCTGCTGTAATTTGCTGGCCCCCTAGGCCTCTAGAACATTGAATTCTGATGGATCTCCCTCTTGCTCTCTCTCAAAGGTCACTACCCTTCAGACCCAACCTGAGGTCTTCTGAGGAATCTGACCAGGTTGGCAGGGGAGCCTTCCTCTCTTAAGGCAGCTTCTGCACCCTACAGGCAGTTTTTGTTTTGTTTTGTTTTGTTTTGTTTTTAAATTTGTTCTTTTTAGAGATACATGATAGTAGAATTCATTTTGACATATTATACATACATGGAGTATAACTTTCCATTCTTCTGATTGTACATGATATGGAGTTATACTAGTCATGTATTCATATATGAACACAGGAAAGTTATATCCAATTCATTCTATTGTCTTTCCTATTCCCGTCCCCCTCCTTCCCTTCATTCCCCTGTCTAATCCAGTGAGCTTCTGTTTCAGGTGCTCTGAGCTTCCTGGATGGGGGGAGTTCCATTTGACAATTTTTAATCAAAAAGCATTTCTCCAGAAGCTTTAGAACAGAAGTGTATATTTCCAGTAAGAACAGAGGTGTAAGGGGAGGCACTTTGGTTTCATGCTCATGTGGGGCAGGGAAGCTGGCTGACTCCTCCTCAGAACCATGGCTACCCCTGCACTCTATCTAGCCCTTTGCTACTTTGCCCTCCAATTTGCTGCTCAGGTCTCTCTCTCTGTTCTGTACCAGTTCTGTTCTTGTCAAAGTCTGGGCCTTTCCTGGGTTGGGCAGCTGACTGCATCAGTAACAGCCTACCTCCTTTCTTCTTCCCTTTGTGACCTCTGTTCCACATGACCAGGAGGGATTCATGGAGATTGGTGGCCCAGCTGATGTGACTGAAGTGTGGCTTGGGCTTATGCTCTGTTCTCTGCCTGCCCCTGGCTTGTGCAGGGTACTCTTGCCCAGGGTTCTCCTTGCTGACTTGTTGGAATCTGATTTGAGGTCTCCACCAGGACTCATTGGCTTCAATGCATCCTGGATCATGGAGCCAGGGCTCTGCCTTTGCAGGGCCTACAGCAAGCAGATGCTGGATTGAGATGGCATGCTTGGAATTTGCACTTCTTCTGTCTGGCAGCCCTGCCACCTTCATCCTCCCATCCTCTGCCAAGGATATCCCTGCACTAGAATGAAGCTTGGATATGGCATAGGTGGGGCTCAGAGAGATTGCCATCAGGAAAGCCAAGATGGCTCTCAGTTTTATTTGTGAGAAATGGGAGTTTCCTACAGTCTGATTCTGGAAACAATGTTTCGGCAAGGGAGTGTTCAGCTAGAAAGTTGGCCCGTTTTATTTCTTAGCACTGCCACTATAAATAAAGACATGCACCAAGATTAATCCTCCTCGGGAAATTAGGTTCCAGTAGGGCTTGGGTACTGGGGGTATTGAAAGGAATGGTGGGAAGTAAGAGGGCCAACAGGATGGACAGCCAGAGGCTTAGAGAAGTGACAGAGCAATCCTCAGCTCTTACTGTGGGGAGTGGAACATGGTGAGAGGTCCAGGAGGCTACCTGGTCTCCTTAGCTTGGCCAGTCTGGGCCTATCTTGTGTCTGTCTCCCCTCAGGTTTGAGTTGATGCGCATGTGCTGGCAGTACAACCCCAAGATGAGACCTTCCTTCCTGGAAATCATCAGCAGCATCAAAGACGAGATGGAACCTGGTTTTCGGGAGGTCTCCTTCTACTACAGTGAGGAGAACAAGCCACCTGAACCTGAGGAGCTGGACCTGGAGCCTGAAAACATGGAGAGTGTCCCCCTGGACCCCTCGGCCTCATCATCATCCCTGCCGCTGCCTGACAGACACTCAGGACACAAGGCTGAGAATGGCCCAGGCCCTGGGGTGCTGGTTCTCCGAGCCAGCTTCGATGAGAGACGGCCTTACGCGCACATGAATGGAGGACGCACAGATGAGAGAGCCTTGCCGCTGCCCCAGTCTTCAACCTGCTGATTCTTGGATCCCGAATCCCGTGCAAACAGTAACGTGTGTGCACACTCAGCGGTGGGTGGGGGGAGAGAACGTTTTAACAATCTATTCACAAGCCTCCTGTACCTCAGTGGATCTTCAGAACTGCATTGCTGCCCACAGGAGACGGCTTCTCTGCAGTAAAACACATTTGGGATATTCCTTTTTTCAATATGCAAGCAGCTTTTTATTTCCCTACCCAAACCCTTAACTGACCGGCCTCTAAGAACCTTAATGACAATACTTAATAGCAACAGAACACTTGAGAATTGAGTCTCCTCATATATTCTCTCTCTCTCTCTCTCTCTCTCTCTCTCTCTCGCTCGCTCTTGCTCTCGCTCTCCTTCTTTCTTCTTTCTTTCCTTTTTCCTTTTCTGCTTCATAATGGAAAAATATTTGCCACAAACCCAGCCGGGAAGCCCTTTTTATCAGATGGAGGAAGTGGCTCTTCCTGGGATTCCACGTCACCCTGTGTATACCTGCCTGACACCACAGGTCTTTATAAAACACACACATACACACATTGAGACGGAGTTTTTTAACTGTGTCTTTAACCTTTCTAGTGTCATCTAAAATTCAAAAAGGGCCATTGTTCATCCATGGTTGTTACCATTGTAATGCTGCCAAATTTTGCCAAAATCCTGAACTTTCTCCCTTATCATCCATACCCCCCCTGCCCCCACACACATTGATTTTCTTCTGTCCAGAGGAATGGGGTGAGCATGGTATCATTTATGAGAAATATTGGTGATGTACTCCATCTGACTGTTCCCCAGGTGCTTTCCAAGCCCACATCCACCCCAGTCTCGTTGCTTTTGATGACTAGGTTATTATTTGGGGGAACTGGACAAAATGGGACCTTCCATCAGTGAAGATGGGGAAAGGCTGAACCAGGTTCCCCACCCCACTCCCTACCTCCACCCCTTTCCCTCTGAGAATTCTGGAGGAAACAGACCCTGAGTTAAACCTAAAAGCCAGACTAATGGGTCCATGTGGACATCATGCCAGTTTCCTCCCCCAGCCCCAGCACCCCCTCCTGACCCGCCAAGGAACACAGATGGGTTTCCAGGGACCCAGCCCAGCCATTTGTGCAGGTGTGCAAGGAAAGGGGTTCAGACACCATAGCAGTGAGAAGAAGTGCAGGCAATGGAGTCAAGCATTCTAAGCTTTGTTGACATTTTCTCTGTTACTAGGACTTCTTCATGGGTCTTACAGTTCTATGTTAGACCGTGAAACATTTGCATACACATTGTCTTTAATGTCACTTTTATAACTTTTTTACGGTTCAGATATTCATCTATACGTCTGTACAGAAAAAAAAAAGCTGCTATTTTTTTTGTTCTTTATCTTTGTGGATTTAATCTATGAAAACTTTCAGGTCTACCCTTCTTCCCTTTCTGCTCACTCCAAGAAACTTCTTATGCTTTGTACTAGAGTGTGTGATTTTTCTTCCTTTTCTCCCAATAATTGATACTTCTAGAACATAATTTGCCATGAACTGTTTGATGCCTTTTTATAAATTCATCTCCCCTTTCCCTGATCCCCCAGGCCCATTCATTGTAGGTTTTGTGGGCACGAGGCTGGTGCAGGAAGGAGGCAGATCAGAAGCTCGGGCCAAGGTCCCAGTGGGTCTTGCTCCCTCCTTCCCCTGCCTCCCTTCTCGTGGCATTGGAGTCTGTTACAGCGCAGGACACGATGCAAACTCAGGTTAGACCAAAAAAAAAAAAAAGGTTGAATATCTCACACATCCTTGTTCATTGTTTATAGTCCCCCATCGTTGAAAGTCTCACCTTTCCCTTGCCTTTGTTTTGGTTGTGACACACATATATATATTTTTTTAACTATTGGGTACAACAGCAGTTTTAACTGCAGACACTAGGCATTTGGATTACTTTTTTTTTTTTTAATGGATATTTAATCCTTCCATCCCACAGAAAACAGCTGCTGAGTCCCAGGGTGCAGCAGGGTGTGGCCCAACAGGCTCCCCTCTACTACCCTCCACCACCACCCTCACCATACCGACCTACCTGTCTCTAGAAACAGAGCATCCTAAGGGACTTCCCCCACACTGACAGGGAACAGGACCCCGGCATCCCAGCTGGCCCAGAGACAGCATCCTCAGGGGTGTGTACAAGCATATCGCCAGGTCTGCTGGCCTGAGTGCCAGGTCAGGGCAGTGCCAGCGCTGTGGCAGTCCCAGCCCTTTGCTCTTTCCCAGGGGACCAGAACCCTGGCGCTGGTGTGCTGTTCCTTGGCCAGGAATCCCAGTCCTTCAGGCCCGGGGGTCTTGTTCTGTTTAGTTTTTTAGCACTTCTCACCAGAGTGATGACAGCACAAGAGTTGCTTCTGGGATGGAAATGTTTAAATTATGAGTAAGAACAAAACTCGAAGATGATGATTGCTAGTTGTGACTGGAGATTAAACACAAAAAAAGAAAGTCTGTAGTGCATTTTTGCTTGTCAGTAGTTTCAATCTCACAACTTTTTCACTAGCCTCTGTCCCACAGTGTTTTTCCTTAAAAAAAAAAAAAAAAAGAAAGAAAAAAAGAAAAAAGATAATCAAGAAGGTATTATATGTAGGAGTTTTCTTTTAACTTATTTTGTAATACCAGTTTTAATCACTGTAGAAAAGCCCCCATTATGAATTTAAATACTGAGGAAAGGATGTGTGTGTGTGTGTGTGTGTGTGTGTGTGTGTAAGATGGGACAGTTTTTTGATTTTGGGGTTTTTTTTGTTGTTGTTGTTTTTCAAACATTTATCTACCTCACTCTTATTTTTTTATATGTGTATATAGAAAAAAAAAAAAACAATACATCTCACATTTCTCAGCACCTGACAATAGGCCGTTGATACTGGTAACCTCATCCATGCCACAGGCCACACACCCAGGTGATGCAGGGAGAGAGGCCAGGCTGTTTTCCGGGGTCAAAACAACACTAACTCACCTCTCCACTCATTTCAAATGGCTTGCCTTTTTCTGAGATGTCTCATCTCATGTTGCTTTTCCTTTTTTCCTAACCTGGTTCCTCAGAGGTTGGGAGGTATTAGGATTGTCCTGCTCTCAGCCCAGCAGCCCCTACAACCCTGAGGAGATAACAAGAGCACACCATGGGAGGCCACCTGGCCATCCCTGTCAGATGACTTTGGAACAAAACTACTTTATGCATGTTGAATGACCAATACATTTCATCACTGAGAAAGCAGGTGTTCTCCATTCGCTGAGAACAGGAAGGTGCCCCCCCACACCACACAGTTGATTCTGTGAGAATCCCACGTGTGCAGGTGTGGGGTGTTGGTTGGTTCCCCTCACCTGCTCCAGTGAGGCCTGCAATGAGGCAGGGATGTGCTACCACCACTGCTGCTGCTTCTGCTGCTGGGTTTGTTCCATTCAAAGGTGCAGCCACATCAACAATTTGAGAGCTTGGCCTTCTGATCCAGAATGCAGAGGTTCCTGACATTACCACCCATCTGATACAGAAAGAGTGGTAGGGGCAAAACCCCTTCCCCTCTGCAAACTGCTCTCAACTTTACCCTCATCTCCTCTTCCCCCAGGGGTAAACAGACATACCAAATCTTGGGGCTGAGAAAGCCAGTGGTAGGCCCAGCCTCTGTGGCATTCCCATCTGGTCAGGGATGTACCTCCGTCCATCCCGTCATCCTGCTGCTCACGGGCGGATGGTGCACTCTCCACATCCAGCGGCTGCTCATAGGCACTGGGGACTTCAGCTGGGAAACACGTTGTGGGTAGTTTTGTCCAAGAGGGGGCAGCTCCTTAGCAGTTCCAGTATGTACAGTTAAGCTCAGGGGCCTTCTCCTTCCTGCTAGAACACTACCCTTGTCTCCCAAGTTCCTGGGGACCTTAAGGTCATTGATAAATACTGTTTGATCAGGGTTTTATTCTTCCACGCTGTAGGTGACCCCTTGGAATAGTGGCCTCTCCTCTCTTTGCACATACTTACCGGTTTCCGCAACTGGATTTCTACAGATCATTCAGCTGGTTGTAAGGGTTTTGTTTAAACTGTCCAAGTTGTTGGTGTCATTTGTTTTTGTATTATGTAGGAGGTTTTTCTTTAAGTAGAGAGAAAACACTACAGTGTAGTGCCCATCATAACAAATGCTTCAGAAACAGTTCAATAAAAGAAAATTTTGTGTGATGGTACAGTCATTTTACTGGACCAACCCACCCACCTTGACTATACCAAGGCATCATATATCCACAGTTCTAGCCTAATTTTATGCTGATTTTCCCACCTCTTCTCGATTTTTCTCTTTTGTGTGCTCCAAATAATCTTATCAAGCTGAGTTGTGGCATTTTCCATGCAACCTCCTTCTGACAGCAGCTCACACTGCTTAAAGTAACGTGAACCACTGAGGCACATCACTGCGTTGATGTGAGCATTAAGACATTCTCACATACAGCCCTTCCCTGAGGCAACAAAAGTTGGCATATTCTAGAGACATTGCGAACTTGAGCTGTGTGAGACCCAGACTATGCCAGTTCTCCTTATGGGATGTCATGATGTTTGACACACAGTTGGAAAGCGCTTCCTTCTTGGAAGATAGAAGACTGTGTTCGTGGCCATCACCGGCCTCTCCTTCCATCCTGTTGCTTGTGACTCGGGACGACATTTCAATGGTTGGAAAAGCGGCTTCATAAAATAGAAAAGTGGTTATTGGGAAACCACCAAATGGCAAAATGCTTGATATGTGGCACTGTGCTTTGGTTGGGATAACAGATCGATGAGCCATGTATGATGCCAAATTGTAGGCCAGTCTGATCCACCAAAGCCTCTTTCTTAGCAGTCCACCTCTGTGACTGGTGGCCATGGTGGCCAAGTTACACTGACTCAGGTGAGTGAGAAGGCTAAGATGCTCATCCCCAGTGCTCAGCTCTCACTTCTGGGTCTGCTTAGGGCGACCAGACAGTGTTGAAGGCAACTCCTTTCCAAAATGTAGGCACCTTCCAGTTGACAGTAACACTCCATGGTATGCCTTGGCCCATTCCAGCAGTCCCAGTAACGCACTTAAGGTTTGGGGTTTGTGCTTTCGTTAATGTTACTTTTGTGTTTGTCAGCTGTCTTTTCATTTCCTGGGCTAAGCAGCATTGGGAGACTTGGACCAGAGATCCACTCCTTAAGAACCAGTGATGAAAGTCAAACTTTCTTACTCCACTCTGAACCAGTCGGTGGTACAAATGAGAACTTCAAGAGAGGATGTTGTTTAGATTGAACCTCTGTTGCCAGAGATGCTGAAGATACAGACCTTGAATAGGCCAGATGTTTTCCTTTCTGGCCTCCAACTTGGATGACTAGTTGGTCATTTAGAGAAATGAACGCTCATCAATGGTGGAATGACCAGGCATTAGAAAACCACTGTTAACAGGGATCATGACATGAAGAGAAGAATTGTGGGCAGAAGGGTACAGGGCTTTGGAAGAAGCATGGGCAGTGTTTTGAACTTGATGCCTTTTGAAGGTATCAGACCACATCCAGGCTCAACAGTCATCCATGGGCATTTGGTTTCAACAAATAAACCTAACATCCTGCTCTGGAAACCTACAGAGTTAAATCACATTGTTCAAGAATGCGAACTATATCACACTCACCAGTTGAGTTGTCAGTTCTGGGGCGTGACTTTAGAGTTTTGTTTTATTTTGTTTCTGCAAGAACATAATAATCACTCATTTGTATGTCCACATTTGTGTGTCCGCATCTTTCCAGTAAACATTTTTTAAATTAGTCACTCATTAGTGTTTCCAATAGGGCTCTTAAGTCCAGTAGATTACGGGTAGTCAGTTGACGAAGATCTGGTTTACAAGAACTAATTAAATGTTTCATTGCATTTTTGTAAGAACATAGAATAATTTTATAAAATGTTTGTAGTTTATAATTGCTAAAAATAATTTAAAGACACTTTTTTTTCTCTCTGTGTGCAAATGTGTGTTTGTGATCCATTTTTTAGGACACCTCTTTACTAGCTAGCTTTACAATATGCCAAAAAAATTAAAAAGAAAAAAATAAAGAAAGAAAAAGAAAAAAAAAGATTTTCCTGGACCCAGGCCATGGCTCACCCTCTTTTCCCCCCATGCTTTGTGCCCTATATAACAAAGGAATGATGATGATTTCAAAAGTAGTTCTGTATCTTCAGTATCTTGGTCTTCTAGAACCCTCTGGTTGGGTAGGGGATCTTTACTGGTCATTTATTTCCCTTTGGAGTGTAGTGACCTTAACAGATGGAAAGAAAAGAACCTCATTGGCCATGGAAATAGCAGAGGTGTTGCCACCCCTTTGGGCAGGACACTGCGGCATCTGGCTGTCTGGCATGGTTGTTGCCTTGTTCCGCAATGCCATACAGATAGAAGGACTTCAGGGCACTGCAGATGGTTTTCACAGTGATCACACAAAAGATTCTGGGGCACACAGGCCATTTGCTTCTGTGCCTCACATTATGATGAATGCTTTGTTCTAACAAGGAAGAGACTTTATTTATTTTTATTTAAGGCAGAACACCGAAGATACATTTTTCCCATACAGAACAAATTCTTTTTAATAAAAAGTATAGCACACGCCAATATTTTTTTAAGTTTGACTCCATGTCCTCTAGTTCCCAATTATAATTGGCCATGTCGACACAACTCCACAAAATCCCCATTGTTGGAAACATCTGGAATTTTTGCACTCCATAGGAGAAAGGTCCAGAAACCATTTGATTTTTGTTTTCAGCTTCTGATTTGGATGTTTGGTGTTGTGCAGACACATCCACAGGTGAACAGATGCCTGGCAAAAACACCTGTCTGCTTTCTAAGCCAGTGAGGTTGAGGTGAGAGGTTTGCCAGAGTTTGTCTACCTCTGGAATTAAAAAATCAAACAAACAAAAAACCAGAAGGCGCGATGGAATGGATACATCGCAAATAATGCATTTTCTGAGTTTTCTTGTTTAAAAATGTTTTCTAAAAAAGTTTTAAAAAAAGGTAATAACATGGCCAATTTGTTACATAAAATGACTTTCTGTGTATAAATTATTCCTAAGAAATCCTCTGTTTATATAAAAAAATCAGTAGATGAAAAAAATTTCAAAATGTTTTTGTATATTCTGTTGTAAGAATTTATTCCTGTTATCTATATACTCTGGATTCTTTACATTATGGGGGAAAAAAGAAACTTTGTCTATTTTGAATGGCTGAAGCTAAGGCAACTTTAGTTTCTCTTACTCTGCTTTTTTCTAGTAGTTAAAGTACTACATGGTTTAAGTTAAATAAAAAAAATTCTGTACGCACTTTTTGACTTCAGTTTTGTTTCCTCCCTTCTGGAAGCATCACCACACTTGTGTGGCAGCGTGTGTATTCACACATGTCACTTGCAAGTGTTCCCTAAGAAAGCATCGCCTTATTTGTGACAGCTGAGCCCTCTGAGGATGCAAATTGCCGGTGAAGTCAGGGAAGCTACTCTTTCTCACTCCATTAAATTGGCTGGAAGAAAATTTGAATACAGGGCTGGGGTTGTGGCTCAGTAGTAGAGCCCTTGCCTAGCGCTAGTGTGAGGCACTAGGTTCGATTCTCAGCACCATATAAAAATAAAATAAAGGTATTGTGTCCACCTACAACTAAAACTATAAAAAGAAAAGAAAATTTGAATACATATAATATAAAACCTGTACTTCATTTTTGACTGATTTGTAGGCTTTTCTCTAGACCTTTCACTGACAAAAGTCAGGCCAAGGCAGGTTTGATCTGTATGACTCTGTGGCAGAGGATTCTAATGTTAACAATTTCTTCAACATATGAGACTTTGAGGGACATTCCAGAGCTAAACAATAACATGGGGAAAGGAAAGAAATAGGTAGGTGGTCTTTAATGGGTACTATTTGGGATGATGAGAAAGATCTAGAAATAGATGGTGGTGATAGTTGCACAGCAACGTGGGTGTAGTGAACGCCACTAAACTACTTAAAAATGGCTAAAATGAACACCAAAAGAGGGAATAACCAAACACCAGCAACTCAGTACCTCTAAAGCCGCTCATGGGCCTGGGTGCGTTGTTTGGAGGCCAGGCAGAGGGCACCTAGAACAGTGGCTGCACCTGAGTTCCCATGGCCTCTGCAAAGTGGGTCTGTGGTCTTGGAAATCTGGCAGAATCATACAGCCCCACTGCTGTGCCCTTTAGAAGAAAAAAGTGCTAGGATTTGATTTCAAAGCCATGAAAAACATAACTTAGTTAATCCCTTGTGCAATGTCTGCCTTTTAGAGAGTTCTTTTTTCTTCTGACAATAAAATAACTTTGTGATTTTGTTGAGCTAATTCAGAATTTTTTCCCCTCTGTGTAAACTGTTTTACAAGCAATTTTTTAAAAGCCTCTCAAAGCACAATTGAACTCTACACACATCACTGAAACGTGTAATTTTCTCTAAAGCAGACATCCCCTAGTTGCTTCTCTTTGGCTGTTCGGTTTTCTGCAAATCAGGTTGAAAGCTTGGGTTTTCCCAGTCTCTTCCAGCATTTCCTGGATAATGACTTGCAAGGTTCTTCCCAGCAGGCTGGCAGGGAGCCAGTGTGACAGCGGAGGGGTATGGATGAGCGCTGCATGCCTATTTCCATGATGCAAAGAGAGGTAGTAGACGTAATCACAGACGTACCTGCATCCACATGAATCTCCACATCATTTCTCATACCAACCTCTAACTCCACAGAATGTAAACAGAATTGGCAATAAACCATGAGGGAGGACCACCACTTGGGGAAATTTAAGTTTGGGTTTTCTTGCCTCAGAAAGAACATGGGGCTGGAATGAATCAGAAACTGATTCCTAGTCTCATGACCAACAAGTGATTAAGAGAAAATGACCAGACTTTCAACTAATCCAAAACACTGTTACCCCAGTAAATCTCTCCATCATTCATGTCTTTATTGAGTCATTTGTCTATTCATTACTTGGAGAAGGGAGAAAATTCCTACCAAGATCAGAATTTGGAGATGCAAAGGTAAACTAATCTTTATCTGGGGCCAAATAAACTCAGAATTTTGCCCCCCCCCCCCCGCCAAAAAAAATTATATATATATAAACATCCACAAAATACCCATGATTCTCAAAACCTGCTTTTCCATCTCTTCTGTAATAATGCTCCAAAGCCTGTGTTACAGGGAGGGGTCCTGGAAATAAGACCTCAGGCCAGGGTGTGAGCAACCAAGCTGTGCTCATCTGCAGCAAAGGGGTGGGTGATCGAGTAGCCAATTGGATGGCTCTCTCCTTTGGGGGGGGGGGGGGGGGGAGATGGCACTCTGAAAATCATTCCCTCCCCTTGCTCACTCGACGCTTCTGCAAAGTGTACCTGCCCGCATCCCGGGAATAGGCCACGTCAACATCCTCCACCACAATGTTCTTGCAGACCGCCTTCATGCTGACCACCGACTCAATCACATCCGGGCCACCTGGTAGGCACACGCTGCCCTCAGGTCGGAAGCCCCGGATGTCAGCATCCTGGTAACTTCTATTCTTGCCACACTGTTCCAGAAAGATCACTTTGGCAGAGGTGTCCATGCCCACATGCACAGCAAGCTGTGTGAACACATGGAATAGCAGAGACATCACAAGAAACCAGGTCATTAGATATGCAGAAGGGCCAGGCTGTGGGAGACCCCAGCTCCCAGTGCAAACTATCTCAAGCCTCAAATCCACCCAGAAAACCCACAATCCCCTGCCTGTGTCCTCTAATTAATACAAGTAGAAGGAAAAGCAGCGGGCTTTTAGCTGACTAGAAATCATGCTGCATTTATATTTAAATACCTTTACATTTCAAGATATTCTTACATAGTAATGTATTCATTCTCTCTTTTTTTGGTTGGGGGGGGGGGGGCGGGGAAGCTACTATCTAAGATTACCATAGGAGAAGCTTAGAATTTTAGTGGAATCATATGTCTTTTTAGTGAAACTTTAATAAAGGAAGTTAGTAACAGACCAATAAATCTTGATAGAATGTATTTGAGCTGATTATTTTTCCTTTTTCAAAAATAGCTGCTGAGTATTTTATCAAAACATTTGGGGCATTGCTTTAACAGCGAGCATGATGGTATATGTTTTATTAACTTCATCTTATGGGCTTTGGGGGGAGGGCTGTTTGTACCAGGGTATTTGTACCAAGTAATTATGTTCAGATAATATAGTTTAGAAATATAAGTTTGATATAGGTTGAGAATATAGGTTTGAAAATAAGCCTTCCCTTGGTGGATCACACTCCCAGTCACTCTCCCAAGCCCAGGAGATCTTTACTTCATGTCCAACCTCAAACCAGCCTTCCCTGAATGGGCATGTGTGGGGCCCAACCCAAGCCTCTTCCTTAGGTGGAAACTCTTTGAGTTCCATTTCTTTTTCTTCTCCTTTCTCTCCTGGTTTTAAGACCTGCTTTAGCCAGGCTTGGCCGTGCAAGCTTGTAATCCCTGCAGCTTGGAGGCTGAGGCAAAAGAATCATGAGTTCAAAGCCAGCCTCAGCAACTTAGCAAGCCCCAGAACAACACAGCAAGACTCTGTCTCTAAATAAAATATTTAAAAAGGGCTAAGGATGTGGCTCAGTGGCTAAAAGCCCCTGGGTTCAATCCCCAGTGCAGGGGCCAGGAGGACCCTACTCTATATTTCAGCTTAAACCGAGAAACTTACTGTTAGATGGAATTAGGCTGGGTTTATCACTTACAATATCAGGACCTCACACTGTTGAATGGGACTTGGGGACAGGTTGCACGTCAGCCATCAACCCAAGCACCAGGATCCAGGAAGTTCATAACCTCTGTACTCCCCTACATCATCAGCCTCCAAGGCCCACTGCCTCTCTAGCCATCACTTACTTGTGGCTGAAAATCTTCCCAGATTCTGGTGACCCTCTGCTTTGCCTCCCTGTAATCTACAGGCAACTGCAGAGTTCGTAGTTCCACCGCCATATCAGTCCCCAGGCCCAACTTGGAGAGCTCCTGTAGAAAGAAGCAGACTGGCTTTAACTTAGTTGATGGAGGACAAAGAGGAGTCCCTATAACTCGAACCCTTGGGCCCCACTTACAGGGATCCTCTGTGGGCCTGCATCCTGCCCTCAAGGAGCTCATGCAGTGTTAAGAGTCTGCTTTGGAATATTGAAGAAACTTTCCCAGCTTGTAATCATAGAGAGAACCTAGGCGCAGCCTCATTTGGAAACTCCTGCTCTTGAAATTCTGTCTCCTGGCCCCCCACCCCCCACATACACCTGGTGTCCTAGGCCACCAGTACTGTGCATGGCAGATAGAGGCATTTTATAAAATAAGCTAGAGTTGGCAGTCATTCTGAGCCTGGATTGGGAGGATGATGCTGGGGAGAAGGAGCACGTGCCACCCAAGTGTTTGCAGGAAATGGCATGGGCTTTGAGGTCAGAAAGACCTGAGTTTGAAACCTGGCTTTACCACCATGCAGCCAGTAAGTTAGGTATACTATCAACTTTGGAGTTCCTTAATTTTCTCATCTGTGCAATGGGGATAATTGAAAGTCAGATGGGTTTTCATGAAATGATTCACAATTTTCATGAACATCGAATGAGATGATTCACTAGGCACAGTGACTAGCAGCACATAGTTGGGACTTTATAGAAGGGACCAGTGTTTATAATGAACCTGTATTAATCTGAGAAATTTATGCAAGATGGATTTATTGAAAGCGGCATTTATTAGAATTTGATGAGCCCTGTCAGAAGCAGTGATAACACTCTGCACAGACTTCAGGCTGCTGGCTGCCACCACCATTTCTGCTGAGAAGAGCTGGTGGTTTCAGCACAGGGAGTATTGGTTCTGCACAGAATTGGAGAGAGTCATGGGTTTGTGCCTTCCGAATTGGCACACTTTCTCAGCTAGAATTGCAATCTTTTATGCTAACGCGAGGAGAGACAGAGCCTGGAATAACCCCCGGCCCAAAGTGAAATCCAGCCCACTGCTTTAGCCACAATGCCTCCAGAAAACCTGAACCCCACAGCTGCAAAGGTCCTGGACAAGAGGAAACCTGGCTTCCTGTTTCTTTCTCTCTTCCATCCTCCACCTCCGAAATCTGGTCACCAGAAACACATGGCAGTTTCTCAAAGGGAGCTGAAGGAAGGAAGATACCAGTTGCTCTCTGCATTTGTTCAAATCCACAGAACTGTGGCACCAGCTGGTGTGGAGAAGCAGTTGCTGTTTTTCCAAGATCTGCTTCTTCCCTTATCAAATGAGAGTGTGGGGCTAGGCACAGAATGCATGGAGGTATTCCTCCATTCAGAGGTTCCAGAAAAACTCCCAAGAGCCTGCAGTGCCTCCTCTGCTCGGGGCCTGGTCACATTCTCAGAGGAGAAGCATGAAGTAGACACAGACAGTGCTGGGCTGCAGAAGGCTGAGTACAAAGACGTGGGGCCAGAAGAAGCCAGAACTCCCTGCCTCCACCCACTACTGAGAGAGTTTGGGCAAACTCTTGGAGTTTGTTGAACCTCAGTTTCCCTGTCTGTGAAACATGGTAACAATAGGACCTCCCTCCTAGGGTCCCTGTGACGACTGAGCAAGACATGAAGGCCAAGGGCTACGGGGCAGAGAAAGCTACCTAGGGCTTAGACAACTGGCAGGAGTTGCCCAGTGAAAGAACTTTCCATGGAGCCAGAAGAGTGAGGCTTGTGTGTGAAAACTTATCTTCCTTCCTTCCTTTCTTCCTCCCTCTTTCCCTTGCTACTGTTCTTGCTTTCTCCTTCTTCCTCTTCCTTCCTCCTTTTCTCCCTTTCTCTCTCCCTCCCTCCCTTCTTTCCTAGCTTTGCAGCTTTTCCTCCCTCCTTCTCACCTTTCCTGACCCTCCTTCCTTTCCTTCCTTCCATTCATCTTTCAACATTAATTTTGTCACTGCATGTGGGTGAGATGCCCTCTGTGTGGAATTATGTTTGAAGATTTGAGTGGATATGGTAGGAGGTGACAAGGAAAGAGGGAGCCCGATCATGTATTCCTCTTGCCTGTTGGGTCAGAAAAGACCTGGGAGCCATCAGGTATGGCTGAGACCCATGCCTGGCCTCCAGTACCATCCAGGCTTGGGGGCTCCATGTGAGGAGAGAAGCTAAATCCAGAGACAGTAGGGCTTACCAGGAAGAGGAGGAGGAAAGAGAAGATGTTTGGGAACTGAAATTTAGCTCAAAGGTACAGCACTTGTATAACGTGTGCAAAGCCCTGGCTGCCATGCCCAGCACCCACTGACGGGGGAAGGGAGACCTTGCAGAGGGAAAAGGTGAAATGAAGTATAAGATAGCCATCACTGAAGTATAACACAGCCATTAAAATGACTACAATCCCAGCAGCTCGAGAGTCCGAGGCAGGAGGATCATGAGTTCAAAGCCAGCCTCAGCAAAAGTGAGGTGCTAAGCATTCAGTGAGACCCTGTCTCCAAATAAAGTATAAAATAGGACTGGGGATGTGGCTCAGTGGTAGAGTGCCCCTGAGTTCAATCCCTGGTACCCAAAAAGAAAAAAAAAATGACTTTGCAAGGAAATTCCAAGATAGAATAAGTAAAACAACGAGAATTTCATACTGTTTCCTATAGCCCTCGATGGAAATGGGAACACACTGAAATGGTTTTCTTGAGGGCAGAGTTAAGGCTGATGCTCATTTCTTTCTATACTTGTAAGCTTTTTTTTTTTTTTTTTTTTACAATGGTCATGCATGTACTATTTTTCTGATTCTAAAATAGTCTGGTGATCATCTTAGCTGCCCCCGGAGAACCCTTACTTCATATTGGCACTATACAAGCATCTCCCAACGATCTTCCTGAGGATGGTGTCCCCGTTTTATAGATGAGGAAACTGAGGTCCAGAGAAGGCACATTTTGAAAAGAGGAGTTGCAGAAATAGGCACAAAGGAGATGCTTCCATAAATGTGAAGTTCACCATTAAAGGCTGACCAGAGCCCTCCCTTTGTTTGTGGGGATCTTGGAATGCTGATTAAAGACCACTCTGCACTAGCAATGTCAAAGTTCCATTCTCCACAGGTGTGTCCTCTAAGCCACTCTTCCAAACTGGTGGATCAGTCTTGACTTAGAGATTCAGGAATGAAAGACATCAACCACATATTTCCCAATCCTCTTTCTAGAGTGTTTGTCTCCAAGTATTTTCTTAATTTTATTTTTTAAATTCTACTTTGTTATATATGACAGCAAAATGCATTATAATTCATATTACACATATAGAGCACATTTCTTTATATCTCTGGTTGTACACAAAGTATATTCACACCATTCATGTCTTCATATATGTACTCAGGGAAATCATGTCCATCTCATTCCACCATCTTTTTTACACCCCCTACCCTCTCCCTTCCCCTGCCTCCCCTTTGCCCTAGCTAGAGTTCATCTAAACTTCACAAGCTCCCCTCCCAACCCCACTATAAATCACCCCTGTCTTGTAGACAGGACCAAAAATTAAATTGGGATTGTAACTAAGCCTACTCTTTCCATATCTGAAGGACTTCTAAAGTTCCATAAAATTCTATCAATACAGATAAAGGTTAGATTTAACATTGTCAAAATGGCCATACTACCAAAAGCATTATACAGATTTAATGCAATTCCTAATAACATTATTCATAGAATCCTAATGACATTATTCATAGAAATAGAAAAAGCAATTATGAAATTCATTTGGAGAAATAAGAGACCCAGAATAGACAAAGCAATCCTTATCAGGAAGAGTAAAGCAGAAGGTGTCACAATACCAGACCTTAAGTTGTACTACAGCTGGGCACTGTGGCACATACCTATAATCCCAGTGGCTCAGGAGGTTGAGGCAGAGGATCACAAGTTCAAAGCCAGCCTCAGCAAAAGCGAGACACTAAGCAACTCAGTGAGACCCTCTTTCTAAATAAAATACAAAATAGGGCTGGGAATGTGGCTCCATGGTCCAGTGCCCCTGAGTTCAATCCCCACCCAGTACCTCCCCAAAAAAATTTCAGCACAGAGCCATAGTAACAAAAACAGCATGGTATTGGCACCAAAACAGATATATAGACCAATGGTACAGAATAGAAGACACAGTGACAAATCCACATAAATACAGTTATCTCATACTAGACAAAGGTGCCAAAAACATACATTGAAGAAAAGATAGCATCTTCAACAAATGATGCTGGGAAAACTGGAAATCCATATGTAGCAAAATGAAATTAAAACTATATCTCTCACCCTGCACAAAACTCAACTCAAAGTAGATCAAAGACTTAGGCACTAGAACAGAGACCCTGCATCTAATGGAAGAAAAAGTAGGTCCAAATTCCCACTATCAGCTTAGGAACTAACTTACTTAACAAGATTCCTAAAGCGCAAGAAGTAAAATCAAGAATCAATAAATGGGATGGATTTAAACTAAAAAGTTTCTTTTCGGCAAAAAGAAACAATCAGTGAGGTGAATAGAGAGCCTACAGAATGGGAGCAAATCTTTACCACAAACACATCAGATAGAGCATTAATCTCCAGGATATATTAAGAACTCAAAAAACTTAACAACAAAAAACCAGTAAATGGGCAAAGGAACTGAACCGACACTTCACAGAGAAGAAATACAATCAATCAACAAATATCTGAAAAAAATTTTCAACATCTCTAGCAATTAGATAAATGTAAATCAAAACTACACTGAGATTCCATTTCACTCCAGTCAGAATAGCAATCATCAAGAATACAGGTAGCAATAAATGTTGGCAAGGATGTGGTGAAAAAGATACACTCATACATTTCTGGTGGAACTGCAAATTGGTGCAACCACTCTGGAAAGAAAACTGGGAATGGAACCACCATTTGACTCAACTATCCCACTCCTTGGTTTATACCCAAAGGACTTAAAATCAGAATACTATGGTAATGCAGCCACATCAATGTTTATAGCAGTTCAATTCACAATAGCCAAACAATGGAACCAACCTAGGTGCCCTTCAACAGATGAATGGATTAAAAGACTGTG